ATATAATGTTAACATTTTTTTCATATTTTATTCATATAGTTGTATTTCTTTAATATAATCAGTAACAGTTTTATGAAAATATCAACAATTTGATATCTACAACCAAGAGTGGTGGATGAATGCAGGCTTTTGTAACTACTGAACTGTTCCTCTGCATTACATTCCACCACCATACACCATACATGTCATATTGTACACATATCATATATTAACTGAGGATGAAGGAACATACTGTCAATCAGTTCTCAGAGTTTTATCTTCAGAGTTCTCAGAGTTTTATCTTCACCATGCACTGCTTGCAGCAATTTATCGTTTACTGACATGTAGAGCACGAGCACTTTTTTATTCTCTCAGGGATGAATAAATAATCAATTTTCAGCTCAATTAAAGTCATTTTATTCCAGCAAAAAGGATCACAGACAGAAGTCATGCAATAAAATTTAGACTGGTTTGACCAGACAAATGAGCACCAAAGAACAATGGCCATTCCTGTCATCCAATGAACAATGACCATTCCTGTTATCCAATGAATGAAGGCTATCCTGGTTGTCTGCTCTCAGTCAGACTCCATGTCCTCCTCTCCCTCCTCCTCCTCGGTGCCGTTTACTTGAGCGTGATCTGTGGCCCCCTCCGTATCCGATAGAAATAAATCATCAAAGTCCTACAAGAGTTAGATAAAAAGAGTCCCTTAATTAATTGCACATATTAAGCCAAAGAAAGACAACTTGTGAAAGCATTGCGGAATCTCTATTCATATGTAATAGTGCCAATTTTTTTGTTTTACCTCAGTGTCTGATCTCTCTGGCATTAAATTGTCGATAGCCATATCTTCATCTGACGACTCTACAACATAATGAAGATTTTGTTATATGTAAAACACTCAAATGTCTTCTGACAATTATTGTCAAGCTAGCTGATCTTGGGTTGAACTGCTCTCTATATTTCTCCATCCCTAAACTAAAATTTTGTGATAGATGTGGTTTTCATTCTCAATACAGTATATATAAATCAAAGGCCTGAGAGGCGCATCGCACTGAAGATAGAAAACTCAACAAAAAAATTTTCTCAGTAAAATTCAACTTACATGTTGAGGGGAAATCAGGAATAAAAATAAAATGTAAAATATCTTTTCTTTGAGGTTAAAAAACATTTTGAGTCTTGGCATTTTTAGCCAGTCAGTCGGGAGAGTTCAAACTAACATTTTTTTTTAAAGATAGTCTGATATATAATTTAATATAATTCATTGATATTTAGATTAATTTATAATTGCATGAATGCAATTATAAATGAATTTAAATATCAATGATTTATAATTTATGTTTTTAATTATATTTTTATTTTTTATTTTTATTCTTTCATTATTATCATAGTAGGAAGATGAAATAATGAATGAGAATTTAGAAAGGAATGATTATTGAATAATTCTATATAACATCATATCTGAATTTTTTTTTAGTTTCAATCATTATGTGCACTTTTTTAATATCGATACTTTGTCTTAGACTAGTTTTCTCAATCAAAATGGCATAATACGTAAACCATAGTGGGATACACGAAATCTTCATATAAAAACATGTACATGTAATACGGGACTAAAAAAAACAATCGGGCGTGGTATACCGTATATTATGAAACCCGTCAATGGCGGCCGATTTCCTCCGATATTTTCGATAAAATTGGCTCTATAAAACCTTGGCAGTAGGGATTAAACTCAAAAAGACTATGTTAATAAGGTATTGGTAATCTTATAAATCGAAATCCAGTCATTGCAGTTTTTTATATGTCATTAAATCATATTCAACCGACATTTTACAAAAAACCGATCATTTCACCATTTCATGTCACCCTCGTGGATTTTCCCCGAAAGGTGGCGCTAGTTGCAAACATTTATTCAGTTGGACATCTTACTATTCGTTTCATCGAGTGAAAAATAATAGTATCCTTTCTATTTCTATAAAAAAAAAAAACAACCGTCTTGTTCCTATTGTTAGTGATGTTTTGAAAAAAAAAAAAATTGTATATTTTTCTCAGATATTCGTACAAGCAATGTCGCTTTACAAGGCCTAATAATTTAAAGTACGAGCTGTTGTGATGCAAATAGATCTTACTCCGCGTAGCGCACATGTTTGTTTGTTGTTGTTTTCTCTCTTTTGGGGGGGGGGGGTTATTTCTTTTTTGTTTTCTCTCTTGTTTTCAACGTATATATAACATAAACCTCGGTATATGTGAGAGTTTATGTCATTTGATATTTAAAAAAGACAATGAATATCACCAACTCGCCAATATACTTTTGCACTATTTTCAATAGCGTATTTAGAATCAATATTGTGGAGTCCTTTGTCGCCGCAAATTGAAAGAAAGAATTGGGGGTCGACACCAATGAGGCTACATCGCTGATAGCGATGCGCCTCAATAAAATCATTTTTACCTTCCTGATACATAAGAAGTGGTCGTTGATCTGGGGTGACATCTTCCTCTTGCTGAGCTTGGCTTGCAATCTGCAAGATTATATCTGCTTTTTTCAAAAACAATCTTGGAGAAATACCTGTTCATTTTTTTACAATTAACATTAATTGCTGACTTCTGTTTTTCACCTAAAAGAGAGGATTTAGCAACCTACCGGTGTGTATTCATCGTTATTAATATTTAATTCCATACTTTTTTCCTCAAAAATTTTATAAATATTTGACATACATGTAAAAATTTAAATTTAACTTTTTCAAAAATCTGACAATACCTGTGATAACATCAGCTCTAGTTTTCCTTTCAGTTTTGACAAGCGGTCCACTAATCTGGTCCGTGAATCCATAGACTGATACAAGACACTCAGATTATTTACCATGTCAGGAAACTGCAATTCATACATAAACTCCATTTAAACATCTCAGTTTCTAGTCAAAAATTACTTTAAGTAGTGATTTCAAGAAAAAGTTCCAATGTAAGGTTAAATTGTAAAGATTTTCCTACCAAGACATTTTTAAGCTACATGTACATAAGAGTCATCACATCATCACTGTGACTGCAGCCATCCAGTAACTTACTTAATGTAATAAATATTTGTGTGTCAGAGAAAACAAAACAGTAATTGAATAGACAAAAGACATAGTCTACAGGACTGTGAGAAACAGATCTACGTGTACATCATTTTTGTGGAATTATCATCTTCATTTTTGGCAGCCATTGACAAGTAAATCGCCATTATGATGCAGTGGATTGTTTATCAACCACTTATCTCTGAATGGCTGTGATCAAGATGATGAAGGTACTCTACACTAACTGATGACAAAGCTACTTACCGTAATCAAGTAAGATGTGTGAACAGTAAGCAGAGTCTTTAACCATTTCACATATAAACCACCTCTGCAAACACAAAATAGACACTTCAAAGAAAATTCCATGATGATAAACCAAAGATACCCAGAAAACACTTTTGATATATGTTCAGTTAGTACACTGAGGGCTCAAATAGGCTTAGACTGCTGCCCAATGCCAGTCAATGTTTTTATATGTGAAATGAAAAAAAAAGTGAGCAAGCTCACATACCCCACGCTCCCCCATACTCGACAATGCAACACATAATGAATGGCACAGTGCATTTTAAATACACAGTATAATTCAAAAAGGGGCATTACTTGCAAAAAATCATCACATCAAAACTTCTTGCATGTAAGGACATTCAAATCTTTGTATGTAACAAATTTAATTGGGCTGAAATTTCTAGATAGATAATGAAATCAAAATTTCTTGGTAATATACAAATTTATACATTATGCAGGACTTATGATGACAAACTGTAATTTAAATTCCTCAGTGATTTGTTAATGAGTGTAAGTCCATGTCCAACACATGACAATTTACACATTTAAATAATTGATAGAAACAAAATTATGATGTAGTCATATGAATTTATTTATATACTGTACTTATGAAATTATTTAAGGCAAAGCACCAATTTGAGAAGGGGGGGGGGGGGGGGGGGGAACTATCCAAGATTTTGTGTGCGTGTCAAATCATTAATATTTTGATCTCAAAATCAATAGGGGTCTTTTAAGGTCATAAAATATTTCACATAAAATTTCATTACAAAAGTTGATTCCAGTGGATTTCCTTATTACCTAGCTGGAAAGTTTCTTCAATAATAGACAAAACTCTTAAGGCAAAAATAATGTAATCAGAATTTCCTAGTAATATGCACATCTACACACTGTGTACTAAATATCTGCAAAGTTTGACCAAATTCTGTGCAGCGGTTTAAGAGGAGTGGCGCTGACAAACTGTTCATCTCTATATTCAAGATATGGCCAAAAATCTAAGTTGAAAAGTGCCGAAATTCCCAGAAAAATCAAGGAATCGGAATTTCCTGGACATATGCACATCTACACACTGTGTACTAAATATCTGCAAAGTTTGACCAAATTCTGTGCAGCGTTTTAAGAGGAGTTGCGCTGACAAACTGTTCATCTCTATATTCAAGATATGGCCAAAAATCTAAGTTGAAAAGTGCCGAAATTCCCAGAAAAATCAAGGAATCGGAATTTCCTGGACATATGCACATCTACACATTGTGTACTAAATATCTGCAAAATTTGACCAAATTCTGTGCAGCAGTTTATGAGGAGTTGCGCTGACAAACTGTTCATCTCTATATTCAAGATATGGCCAAAAATCTAAGTTTAAAAGTGCGGAAATTCCCAGAAAAATCACGGAATCGGAATTTCCTGGACATATGCACATCTACACATTGTGTACTAAATATCTGCAAAGTTTGACCAAATTCTGTGAAGCGGTTTTAGAGGAGTTGCGCTGACAAAAAAACAGGACTGACGGACTGACTGACACACTGACTGACTGACGGACGGGTCAAAAACATTATACCTCACGCAACTTGTTGCGTGGGGTAGAATAAAATGGTTAAAATTGAATCATACAGTTAGTATAACATACTTTTCAGATGGTCCTGACACACAACTTGTCAGTTCTTTAACTAGAGGAACAATCGCCTGAACTGGGAGCATCTTGATGGTGTTGGTTATAATGGTGTCACTGGTGGGCCTTCCCAGGACACTCTACAAAAGTAAAACCAAACTTTTTTTTTAATTTATAAAATTCTTTAAAGACTAACAAGATGAATAAGAAATGTATAATATAATAAAGGTTGCAAAATTGAATCTGCATCAGATTTAATGATCAACATGGCAGCCATGGGATTGTATGGGGTGAGTAGCCCCTCCCACAACTGTTCAGTAGGATCCATTGTATACATCACATACAGTTTGTACTAACACAGCTAATAGATGTGAAAGTTCTTACTTTAAGAATGTTTTTGTCTTCACTTTGTAGACCCTGGGTCAGCAGTCTCACTAGTGTGTCGGCTTTAGGGGGTTCCTTGGAGGTCTCTGGTTTATTTATACTGATGGCATTCAGCCTCTCTTCCATGTTCATCTAAAAATATTTAGTGTTAACTTAGAAATTCAAGAAAACTGGTACCAATGTATGCAGTCGGTTATTTCTATCACAAAGGAATCGAATAGAAAGGAAATAATATACTTTATTAACATCTAAATACTGTAAATTCTTTTCATTAAAATGTTTTCTTTAGCACAATTTTTCCAGCATAACAATTTCAGTTGAGAATGTGCTTGTTAGTTCACACTTTGATAGCCCAAAATGTCAAAACAATTCTAAACCTTACATCTGAAACAGATGGTTTTCTTTTCCTCTTTTCCTTCAACGAGGGTCCACTGGCGACAGTGTTTTCAGGAGCAAGCACAGTTACATCACTGGAAACAGCTGGTGTCTTTAACTACAAATTTAGTGTCACTTAAATAAATTTTTGCTTATTATTATTTTAAAAAAATTCCAAAATCAAAATGTAAATGTTCATGTAAATAAATAAGCAATCATCTTTCTCAATAATGAATGTATATATCCAAGTTAACAACATAAGATTCTTTCAAACAAAATATCTAGAATTATGTTCCATACATCTAATACTTGTATACTCACAGCTTTTAAAAGAATGTGTTACCTTTGACACATCAGCCTGCTTTTTCATAGAGGATAACACAGGTTCATCTCGTATTAAACACATATCGGAACTTGACATATCCAAGACCTGAAAAGAAACAAATACAACTTACAACTTCCATCTAAGCCTTTCAAATCAGTATCAAAACAATGAATTTCCACTGAATTTTCCAATATAGTCTCATACCTCTGTAAATGATTCATGATTTTAGAGAATTCATTTACATATCTTTTAACTCTCTCTCTCTCTTTTCCTGACACAATCTTACCACTTTTTCAAACACAGGTTTGAGGTAATTTCCGTATACCAACAGAAGGCGCTGGTCCTCACACAGATGAGTGGCTAGTATCTGAATTGGTTTTGGAATGGAATCTCTGCCCCCTGATGAGGCTATCTGGATGGTCACTTTTGGTTTAATAGGTTTTTTCACTTTTCTATGTAGAAAAATTTTGTCAGATTTATACAATTTTCTGCATCCATTCTTTCATGATGTATATCACGCTCAATGATTTTTAAGTCAGTATTAAAAACACCATATCAATAAAAACAAATCATCATGTTTATTGTTAATGATTATTGTTAACAAAGTAACTTAAATCTCCTACCCATTCATTGTATGGTCAAATACCAGCACTTGTCCACTTCTTGTCACAGCAGCCAATACCACCTAAAATACGTATTACAATTCAATTTTCAAAAAAAAAAAAAAGGATTTTTAATTTAGTTGTAAATATATGTACATGAATTTTTCACATTTTCAAACTATTGAAACAGCTTTTCCGTGGAATTTTGAAAAAGTGGTTGGTTTTTTTTTAATCAATTATTTTTTCCCCTTGATGTGCAATTCAAAAGACATTGATCAAGCATACAAATCCACAGACCTCTTCCTGTATTTTCTGTAAATCTAACATAACTGGTTCCTCTGGGAGTGAAAATGAGGCTATAGAACTTTTATCTTTCACTGAAGTGTTTACTTGCCTACAAAAATAAGACATGGCATCCCTAGTGATTTACATATTTTTATCAAACATATATTTTATGAACTGTATTAAAAATGTTTGTTTAACCAGTAACAAAGTTTGTATAACAGCCAGTTGCCAGTACACCTCCAATATCAGCAAAATACAAAGAACTCCATTGTCTCTCAAATTTTTACTTTTAATAACATACCAAACATTCACAAGTCTGTCATTCAGGGCTGCTGATAAGAAATATGTTCCTTCTGGACTTTCCGGCAGTTCTGTCCGACTCGGGAGTATGGGAAGTAATCTGAACACCTCTGTAGCATGACCAGTAAATTTCTGCAAGAAAAATATTGTTCAATTAAATTTCTAACTCATGACTTCCATGTATATAAACTGATGCCAAGAATAACTAGAATACTGACCAGTCAGCAAGGGCCCCGCCGAGGGGTAGAAATACAAGGAGTGCAGCTTACAGAATGAGAATTTTAATTGATTACAAAAATTGAAAAATATACGAAGAAGAATATGCAATAACAACTGTATTTATAAAATTTCAAGATAATTCATAAATATCCAACAACCTGTAAAGAGTATCCCTGTATTTACATAAGGCAGTAAAAAACAATATATCTATAATAACTCAATTAAATGTATATTTAAACAAGAATAAAGTATGTGTTTTATAAAATGCCAGCCTTCACTGAATGCAAATATCACCCAGGCTTGACCTTAACTTCAAAACAAATATCAGTTGCAGACAAATGTTAATTTATCTTAAAGTGACAAAGATAAGCCTGGAAAATTTTCTGCCCTAGACAAGATAATTAATCTCAGGGGATTAATTGTACTGCTCTCACATTCTTTTCTTCCAAATTTACAATAAGAACTTTTTCAGTAATGACAGAATGAGTTTATTATTGGACTACCTGTTAAAATTAATAGTATTCTTGAATTTACATACGGCAGCAAAAAAATAAAAAAAGAAATGAATAAATAAATAAATAAATAAAATAATAAAAAAAACAAACAAAAAAAAAAAAACATATCTTTATGTATATCTTGTTTTTAGTTTTTAAAAAAATCATAACTCATTGTGTATTTTACCAAAATATAGTATGAACATTATTTAAATCCACATTTCAGAGAATGTAAATCATTCAGAATTGACCTTAACTTCAAAACAAACTTCATTTGCAGACAGAGGTGTTAATTAATCTCAATTTGACAGAAACAGATAATGCTTTGGATTTTCTTCAAGAGGAAAGTTAATTAATCCCATGGGACTAGTTGCAGCTTTCACAGTTTACAATAGGAACATTCTCAGCAGTTATCTCTCTTTGCCCTGGCATTCATTCTAATGTAAAGTTAAGGAATATACCCCACCACCCCAGCTCCAAAGTGGATGACACAGAGAACCAAACTAAGCATCAAAATATGTCTTACTGCCTCTTCAACCAACATACCAAATTTGAACTCAATTGGTCAACTACAAAAAAAGTTATTGGAAAAAAACAGAAAATTTGTGGACGGAATAATGACAGACGGACAGACAGACAGAGTGATTACTGTAGGGCACCTGCAAATCCTTGCGGGGCCCTAATGAACTATACTATTACAATTTGGATAATTTTTATGCTTTTTTTAACACATATAAAAGATGCTAACGCTGACTTTCTCAATCATCCCGAATATGCAAACACTCCAAAATAGTTATTGTTCCATAGAAAATATGATGTACCTGTTCCATTATATTCTGTTATCAATTGTGACTGTACATACAGTGAGACTGATGAAAGGTCATTTTTACAAAACAATTAATTTACTGTAAATGTATTTTATTTACCTTGTACAATATTTTGCAGAAATTGATTATTCAACAAATTAGAGAAGATATAATTTGAATGTGCTAGTTATAAAAATATATATAAACTAGAAATATGTCCATAGGACATGAATGCCCTGCCAAGGGTATATTAGTAATGCAACATTTTAACACAAATTGAGAAAAGTGAGGTCAAGGTCAAAGGAAAGGTCAAGGTGAAAAATATTGATGCAGTTGAATAGCTCTCATCAGTATGTATCAGCATATGAAGTTTGACACTAATTTAAGAAAAGTGAGGTCAAGGTCAAATGAAAGGTCAAGGTCAAAAAATGTTGATGCAGTTGAAAAGCTTACATCAGTATGTATCAATATATGAAGTTTGATTACTCTATCTTGAATGGTATCTTTAAAACTGAGCTAAACACTAATTTAAAAAAAAGTGAGGTCAAGGTCAAAGAAAGGTCAAGGTCAAAAAATGTTGATGCAGTTGAATAGCTCTCATCAGTATGTATCAACATATGAAGTTTGATTACACTATCTTGAATGGTATCTTTAAAACTGAGCTAAACACTAATTTAAGAAAAGTGAGGTCAAGGTCAAATGAAAGGTCAGGGTCAAAATATGTTGATGCAATTGCATAGCTCTCATCAATATCTATCAGCATATGAAGTTTGATAAAAATATCTTGGATAGTTTCTTTGAAACTGAGCTTTGAACAGAGCTAAACGCAAAGTGTGAGGGAAGGACAGACGGAAGGACAGGACGGAAGGACAGAAGGACGGAAGATGGACATGACAAACACTATATGCCCCGGCCATATTCATGGCGGGGCATAAAAACATTCAGTGATGTCCTTATTTAGTGAAAGCTGCTTTTCACGAAAGGTGCTAAGAAGAATACAAAGCCAATGTTATTTGTTTACAGTAGAACACTCCAACACAAGAAACTTCATGAAAGTTTAAAATACTATTACTTCAAACTTCACTCAGTCATTCATTGTATTTCATCACTATAATTGCCTTAAAATATCAATCTTTCACATACCTTTAGTACACTATAATTTTCTAGATCCCACAGTTTGATTGATCTTCCTGATGACAAAAGGTGATTCTGTGCACAGAGACAAATAGAATGTATGCTTCCACTGTCACCTTTCCATTTGCTGAAAGATCAAAATAGAAATACCCATTTTAATTATCTTGCCAAAGCACACAGATTAAGATTACATTTATGTCAGTCTAACTCACAAAAGTATTCCTTGGCTATAAACATACAGCTGAACTTCAGTATCTTGAACTCTGATTTCTCAAATACCATGAATATGTCGAAGTGATTTTGAAGTCCCAATCACTTTTTCTTTATGTATTTTAACCTCCATATATCAAATCATCAGAAATCTTTCAGTTATTTCTTGGTCCCATCAAGTTCGAGATAATGAAGTTTTGACTGCATATATTTTCAAGAATCAATGCAATGGGGAAATCAGTTAAACACTTGAGATTTTAACACAACTGCGCCATGCTATAACAATTTCAAACTTCGTTTTATTTTTCCTTGATTTGTCACTTCTTTTGAAGTTTGCAGACCTGCTTTATATTTGAACTGTTGCAGATGGTATCATGATCCTTACTGTTTGGCTTTTCCAGATTTGACATTCCACTGGATGATATGTCTGTCACAAGAACAACTGATAACTGTGTTGTTTTCTGGGTGCCAGCACACATCATTGACAGTGTCTGCATGACCCTCTTCCTAAAAAGAATTACATCTGTTCATTTAGTTTTGTTACATTTCAGGCAACTCCAAAAAATCTGTGCATGGAGTTTGGAAAATTTTAACCCTTGTAAGACTAGTGTTTTCTTCCATTTTGGAAAATTTTAACCCTTGTAAGACTAGTGTTTTCTTCCATTTTGACTATTTCAGAAAGTGTCCCATCACTTTTAAATTACTTCATCCATTTGAATCCTTTATCATTTTTTAAAGATACTTTGTCACTTATGATTAACTACAATTTCCAATTCATTGATCCTCTATGTTCTCTGTTGTGATTTAATTCAGCTTCCTATATATACTAAACTCATTATTACAATTACTAGTATTTACATTTCTGCACATTAAAAACACAGACACCCCTCAGTTTCTCTCTTTGTAAAACATGATTTACAATATGTGATAAATCAATTGAGAATGCAGTAAAAATTGAGTCTTGATGTCACTAAAAATGGCAAAAAATTACCATAATGGTTTTGACATCTCCTTTTACAATGCTGTATATAAGGATGCTTCCTGCTGTCGTTCCCACTGCAATTAAATCATATTGTTCTGTAACAGCTGTACCACCTGATTTTCTTCTTTTCTTTCGTCCTGGAGTGTCCTTTACAAAGAATGAAAAGATTTTATATAGGCATTTCAAAAATGACATGAAACCTGGTACAGAAAATCTGAAAGTTTACATCTTTCTTACACAGGATTTTCATCTCCAATAATGCAAATTTTGCTTCCTCTTCAACAATTTTTAGGATAGCTATGTTAGTAACATTTCCTCACAATTTTGTCCTATAGTGACTTTTAAAATAATTTCTATCTGTGTGACTGGTTTTGACATATGCTGTAATTAGTGCATTGCTTAACACTTTTCCAACATTGAGACATTAAAAATCTGTATGTTCCCTATATTTTATGTGGTCCAAACCTCCTAACAGAAACATACCCATTAAATATCCACTGCTCTATCCTTAAGTCAATTTACTACCTTATAATCAAACTTTAAGGCTAAAAATATATCAAAAGACATTTTGTCATATAATAAGACAAAACCAAATGGCGAGTAAAACTGGAAGAATTTTATTAGCATTGGGAAAGTTGGGAGGTACAACGTGCTCTCAACATATATCTTTTTCCACAAATTTCACATTTGATAGGCTATAGAGTTATTTTAACTTGCATTAAAATGGAAAAATATTCATTAAATACCAATTAAATCTGAGATGTCAATTAAACCAATAACAACTGGCAAATCAAGATCTTCTTATACACAATGTTCAAAACCTCTTGATGCTGAAATCAGTATTTCATGAAGGAAGTAATTGTACTTTCAATGAACTGTTGCACAAAACTTAAAAATCAAGCTTAATGCTAATTTCTACTCCCTTTCCGCTGACAATGTCAGACTCGGTGAAAATATAATTGAGCAACATTTATATACCAGGTTTCTTTTTGGTCCCCATGAAAGACATGTGCACGTCGCTGACAAGTGTGCACTGGGTGTATATTCTTGCTTTAAGACCCCATTGTCTGCTTCCCACAGTTTCAACACCCCATCGGGACTCGAATAAATGCTATATTGACTGTTGTCCGAGATCGCAAATGGTGTGATGGAGGCCATTTTCAACACGTGTTTGGCTATGCGCATGCTCTAATGAAAGTTAAAACTAACTGCATGAATGACAAAAAAGACAACATATAGGTTTTCTTAGTCAATTACCAATAATTTCAAAAAAATCCAGATCAATGTGTTACATATAAGATAAGCATGTTAAAATTATTGCCTTTTCCCCATAGAACAAAGCACAACAAATATTTTTTATTGCAAAATAATTTCATTATTGCAGATGTGATATATTCATTGCTTATGTTTTTCTGAATACCAATGAAAGTCAGCTGATATATATGATTTATGTTCAAAAACTATTTATATCTTAGAATTTAGAAATCGATATATATAAAAAATAAGTTATGCAAGTTCTCGAATCATTTTCTTTCTTCTCCATTACTGTTATTAGTCATATCTTAACTTCATTTCCGGCTTTCTGCATGTAAACATTGGTAGAACTCCAGAATCTGGAAAAAGGGTATAATTACATGTATATATAGCGATTTCATTTTCATTACTCAATATACAAAATGTATAAGCGTAAGGTTCTCTTAAGATACTGTATATTTATCTTTTGAAGCATTTTTTTTTGTTTTACAGCGTAGATTGATCTTTTTTTGTCATGTCATGTGATACTGTAGGCAGTGTTTGTCAAGAAATATAAGGGTGTAGAATATGAAAATATTCATTCATTTAAAGAACGAATTAAATAGCTACCCAAGTTATATCGTATAAACTGGGTGGCAACAGTTTACGATTTGTAAACTGCAAAGCTCGTTGACATTAAAAAAAAAAAGCATAAACTGTTCCAACCCAGGTTGTACCCCAAAAAACATATAATAGCAAGAAATTGGTACTGGGTTTTACGGTGGATTTATATGCTTTTGACATATCATTGTGAAAGGCAACACAGATTATATGATATTATAAACAAATTTTTATTTAGTACATAAAAATATGGGGTCCTTGTATGTTGCCATATTAGGGTATCCCTTTGTCTACATATTAAGAATTTATCCTGTCAATGATTTTTCAGGATTCTTAAGTGTTAACATAACCAATTATAGAGGGCGGAGCCCTCTCACAGGCCCGAAGGGCCCATGAGAGATAAGCTCTCCTTATAGGCAATATGTATGTATATAAAATATATTGAACTCGATTGTGAACTCATCCTCGCAAGCCAGGGGTCCTGAGTCAACACGTTGCCGTTGGACCCCTGGCATATTTCATTCAACATTTGTGGGCTAACTGTAGCGACGTCTTTCGGAAAATTTACAAATCTTGATTGTTTTTCTTATCTCTCAACCAATCACATTAAGCCATTCTATGATAAACAACTTGTAACACGTGCATTTGAGGTGTCAACTGAATCCTTATCTAGCTATTTATGAAAGCTTTAATTTGATTGGTGCTTCTCAATGAGAGAAGCAAGCCCACGAATATTGAATGAAATATGCCAGGGGTCCAACGGCAACGTGTTGACTCAGGACCCTGGCTTGCGAGGATGTTGTGAACTATATTTTTATTATATTTAAGAATTGTTGTTTTTAGTTTCGAGTGAGTTATTGGTGTGTTTATCACACAGACTTGTCATGTAGGCATATTTTATGTAGCACGCTAGTGCTTCATGAAAACTTTGCCTTTGTGGAAGTCTGTGGGATTTACACACTACTAATTCACAGGAAACTTAAAATCATATTCCTTATATTTACATTTTACATATTCAAAAGCAGCAAAAATACACTCTGACAATGAATTTTTCCTTGCCCTTTATTGTTTTATTTTTGAAAATGTTTTCCTTGCCTTATTGTGAGGTCACTTAAGCACAAATTTGTAAATACACAAAAATGGTATTAAAATCAGTTTCATAGTTGATTTAGAAGAAAAACACAGCAAATGTATATATATCTGTATATATTCATGCATCAACACAAGCCCATAGTCTTCAGAAACTTGAAGTTCTGCTGCCTAATTGAAAAAGAGGAAGGAGTTAAGATGGTCATATAATATTATAATAACCATCAGTTGACAGTATCAATAAAAATATGAAAATCAGACTACTCTTGAGGCATCGTGCTAGTATAATGTCCTCAATGATGTACTTATTACCTCACCTCTCACCTATCCTCATCGTGCCCGCTGGCACATAAGGCCCCAATCCACTGCCTCCACCTGCCCCCATCTCTGGTTGCTGACCTTGCTGATGCCCCAGCTATTCCACCCCACCTGTAGTTATTCCTGCTTTGTAGTTCTTCTCCATGTTATGTCCTTATTGAACAAGGATTACTGAAATCTCAACATTACATGAATATTCTTAGTAAAGTTGAACTTTCTGCAGCTGGTGCAGATGAATACAATAACTTTTTAAGGCAAGGGGATTTCAGCTAATCAGAGTGAAGGAAAGTAGCTTTGTCTTTAATGACACATTGTATTACTCTCAACAAAGTGTGTGAAACTTGCTGAAATTAAACTCTCCGTGTATATAAAAAATTATTTGATATATATTTTACTTACAGTTGTGACATGCCATAGTGAATCACTCATCATTTGAGCATTTTGAGAATCTCAATCCAGACCAGCTGAAATGGAATCTGAAGAGCAGGAGTCCTTACTGCCTCGATCTAGAGAACCACCACCACCAGACAGGCTAGTAACAAAAAAGTTTTCTGTTAATTTCTGACTTTGTAACATTTAGCAATCTGACAGAAGCATAACTAAATCTAGTTATTTCAACATATAAAAAAATGAGTTTTTAACAGTATTCAAATTCATGAGGGTGTCCCTTAAATGCCTTTGTGGTAAAATGTAAAGTAATCTGTTTTAGTAATTTATTAATTTACGGTACTCTAAATTTCCATGGAGAACTAATGAGTATGAACATGATGAAATATAGGCAGTTTAAGTTCCTTTTTTTTTTTAAATCTTGCAAATTCATGGACATTTTATAAATATTTCTTTTGAAGCATAATAACTATCTGTAATTAGATTAAAACATCTAAATTAAATGAGAAATGTACATGTATGTGGAAAAAAAAATCTGTTAAAGGTGACATGTATTTAAAAAAGATACACACTAATGTCTTAAAACATAAAAAAAAATGCTTTATTTCTAAATATTTACATTTCCAATGTCTTGTCCGAGATAAAATTACAAATTGTAAAAATACTTTATTTCTACATAAATCTACTGGTTCATCAATAGGCGCGGTTAAAAAAAATCACGTGCGGGGCGGGACAAATAGAGACAGAAGCGGGGCTATTAGCACGGGAATTTGCAGAATCAGAGCATGTAAATATAAGGAGTAACTGTCTTATTTTTTGGATTCATGACGATGATCAATCAATTGGCTTGCGTGATAATTTTATGCATAAATGCCTTTGGCGTTTATGCAAATTATCACGCAAGCCACTTGATTGATCACATCATGAATCCAAAAAATAAGACAGTTATTCCTTAAATTAATCTTTGTATAACATAAGAAACTTGGAGTATAACATCTTATGCCACTCTCAAAAATCAAAGAGATATTTGGAGGTAGAAAGCAAAGCTATGCAATATTTTTATTGAGCATTTCATTTGTTGAGATTGAGTAAAATACATGTATAGCAGAAAAACATTTATTAAAAAAAATACTTGATTTAGTTATGTCCCTAATTGTTTAAGGGAAATACTTGTATGTACTTCACTTTAATCATTATCCATTATTAAAAAGCAGAAATTCAGTTAGAATTTTAATTGTGTAGGGATGAAAATTATGGGATTACCCAGGATATTTTTTATACTGTGTTAGTTAAATTTTATGATAAAATAGGTATACAAAGATAATATGAACATTTCTCCATTGTTTAAGAAAGATAAGACAAATGAAGCCACTTTTTTGGAGATGGATTTATGGAGAAACACCTCAACTACTGGCATAAAAGCACCAGTATAGATTTATAGCATTATGTTAGATTCCATTGGTTTTAAATTGAGTTAATTTTTTTTTATCTTTTTGCTCCTTGTTTCAGGTTTAATGCTGTTTTCATTGTATTCTACTTTATTGGCATTGGGTCATTGCTTCCCTGGAATTTCTTTATTACTGCAAACAAGGTATGTGTACATATAATTTAATAGCTGCTTAGATTTATTTTATATCCATCTTGAACATGATGATTCAATTTTTTTTTTTCAAATAATCCATCATGTTCTACTCAGTGGAAAACTATTTATATAAGACTTTTTTTTCCTCCTCAGTATTTCCAATACAAACTCAGGAATACTTCTCTACCATGGGATGATGGATTTTTTAAAACTGATCTTCAGTTCAACTTTGAAAGCTCAATTACCATTGCATCAACTGTGCCAAATGTTTTGTTTAATGTCATCACAGCCATTTTGGCAGCCAGGTATGTTGTTTCTTAACATGATTTTTTTAAGAGAGAGTTATGAATATGCTGGAATTTCTGTACTGTATAATAATAAAATGTTGCATGAAAATTTATATGCTTTGACCTTGAAAGAAACAAATCTATTTATGTGTAGATACTCTGTTTAATTGTGATGATATAAGTTATGAGAAACACAAATTTTTTTTTTTGAAAGGGTAGGGGGGACGGGGTAGTTTTTGCTGTGTTGAGTAATTGCAAATCTTTTGAATTTTTCAGAATTCCACTGAAAGGGAGAATGGTGTTTTCTAATGTTACAGTTGTAGTTATATTTATGATTACTCTAGCGTTGGTGAAAATTAATACTGACCACTGTAAGTGTAGATTAAATCTTAATTCTGTTTCATCTTTATTACAAGATATGCTGTAAACAATTTCATTTTCATAAGATATTAGGATTGCATTTATTCCTGATGAAGAATCTTTATGCTCTGTTCACATGGAGAGTTTAATTCGAATTAAACGCAAGTTACTGCGAATTAAAGTTGAACCGCGTTCACACGGGGAATTTAATTTGAATTAGTTTAATTCAAATTAATTTACTGCGCATTAAATTACTTCGCATTAGCTCCGTGTGAACGCTCAGCGAAGCTAGTTCGAGTTAAATTTTGATGCATGCGTAATGGCAAAATTAAGTGACATGCCTCATTTCGGTGTTCAGATACAGGTACTTATGCAGTTCTTGAGTGAAAAACAAAAGAAAATTAAGTTAAATCACTAAAATGTGTAAAGACACTATGACATTATGTCAAATGGATCTCCTTTACATAAGGTGACGTGATTTGCAAATGACTTCATAATAGCCTTACTGAATAGCCTACCTGTAGAAATTACATTTTTAATTTGCATTACTTTACTTTGCATCAGCTGTCGTGTGAACGCAATTTAATTTACATTAGTTTAATTCGTATTATTTTACTTCACATTAATTTACTGCAAATTAAACTTAAATCAAATTTCCATGTGAACGGGGCATTAGATATCATTCAAATAAAAGTTATATGTTGAGAAAAAATTTGAATTTTCTTTCAACACAATTTTATGAATTTCTACCTTCAGTTGATAAAGTTTTAGCAAATAAAATGAGATTTGCAGTACTTAAAATTGTGTAAAACTGTGTACATTTATAATACTTTTACAAAATGCCTATAGTTACCTTCTTCATAAGATTCATTTTAATGCATTAGAACAGAGTGTGGTAAAATTGATAATGTGCATTTTTTTCCCTATTTTCAGGGCAAACAATTTTTTATTCCATAACTTTATTGTCAGTGGTCATTCTCAGTGGTAAGTATAGTTTTTTTCTATCTATATTTTATTAAATCTGCCTTCTTTTATACACTGTTTGTAGATGGGTCATTATGGTGTAACTTTGCCCATCATTGGTGGATATTTTCCAGCAAAATTCAAAATATTTTGCATGATACTTATAGAACATGCATGTATTGTCCTTGTAGTTGTGCCTCTGTGAATTTTGACAAATTAGTTTTAATATTTAAATATCCAATGTTTTTCCATGCTTCTTGCTATATTTTACCCTTCATTTGAGTTTACAATTACATTATCAATAGAATCATGCATTTTTTTTTTTAAAAAATCATTAAATCATTTCAAGATATAAAGTGTCATGATGAGCTTCTAGTTACTTTTGATGGTTATCTTGATTAAAACTTGCAGAGATAATGATTACTTTCAGCTGCCAGCTCTGTGTATATGGCTTCTATGTTTGGCTTAGGAGGAATGTTTCCTATCAAATACATGCAAGCTATTATGAGTGGACAGGTAATTCTTTGGTTTTTGACTCCATAACTTCTGGCTCTTTACCAAATGTTTACAAAGCAAAATAAGTTAACAATTAGTGTTTTAAAGAGACTTGTTTTTCATACAGTATTTTTTAAAGTATGAATTTCAAAATGCTTGAATTTGGAAAAGGACAAGATAGGCTAAGACCCCTTTTTGGCCCCTGGTTTGGCGTGTCTTTTAGAATGATGCAATAGTTTATCAATAAAAACCTGTTGTCACCCCTGTCACAGAATGAGTCTTGGTTCTAAGTTATGGGATACACAGAGGTCACAGGAAGGTCAGAAAATATGTCAATTTCTGAATTTTCCCATTTTTCTGCAAATTTTCGTCAATTTTACAGCACATTTTGTTATAGAAAACATAGAGCACAAGCTTGCCTATCTATGAAATTTATATATTTCATACACTAGTATCAGATGTATCTTATGTATAAAAATCTTAGATAGGCAAGCTTGTGCTCTATGTTTCCTGAAGTGAAAAGTATCTCAAATTTGACGAAATTCCACCAGAATTGAGGAAATTCGGGAAAATGCCCTACTTCTGCACCCTCTTGTGGCCTCCGTATAAGCTTTGAATCAAAATTAGTGCTGGTTTTAAAACAAGCATCATTTTAAGTTCTTAACTACAAACTATCACAATTTTAACTGTGTTCTGATTTTTACATCAAATAAGTGGCCAGATTCGGCCATTACCATACCTTGTCCTTTATATAATACAAAAGTGTGTTCTTCTATATTTGCTACCTTTTCAGTTGTTGGACAAAGATGGATGTCTTACTTTCATTTTTAAACAACTTTGATTTTTCATATATGTGTGAACGACTGCTTCCTTTCAGGCTGTTGGAGGAGTATTTGCAGCTGTGGCCAATATATTATCAATAGCACTCAGCCGGTCAGATGAAAGAGATAGTGCATTTGTTTTCTTTACTATAGCAACAGTGACAAGTCTTATAGCTCTAGTGGGATACCTCACTCTCTATACAAATGTAAGTCAAGAAAATGTACAAATTCTGATTGTCAAGTTGATTCACAGCAAGTACCTAGTTCTTTGCCAAAAAGTATGCAATGCATGATGCATAGAAATCTATACTGATATTCCATGTTATATTTTTGACAAAAGTATTTGTTTGACATGAATATCGCAGAAAAGTTATACAGGAAAGTGCCACAGTAAGCTAGTCTAAAAATATGCCATAAACTGCATGTATCTTGCAATTACAATCTTATTATTGTATTTGGATTTTTAAAAATGTAATATTTTATTGAAAATTTGCAGTCAGATTATTATGATCATTGCATGTATATATACACATATCTTTTCATTTTTATTTCTTATGCATGTATACTTCACAGCACTTGTACATGTTATTTGTAGTTCTCTATTGATTTTCAGGATTTCTCAAGATATTACATATATCATCAAGGTAAGGTTATTCAAATGATCAAGTTCAAATATGGAACACATTTTGTTATACATTTTGAGCACGGTTTTACTAAAAGACATACAATTCAGGCAAGATTCTTATAAAAATCTAGAGCAATTGGGAGTAGGGTTAAATAGTTTTACCCTGCTGCTATTTTCATTCAGTGGATATTAATTTGGTTTAAATGAAAATATGAAGCAATTTTTCCCATGTAAATGAGAACAGAATTCATGGCATATTAGCACTGTTGTACGTTTATGTTGTCAAGTAATATACTGGGATGACCTTTACAGGGGAGCGGGAGATACATGTAAGTGCACCTGAAGAAACTGATGATGATGCAGTAGTTTTGAGTAAGGAAAGCAGTGTTCAAAATACCGATACAGACACCAGATCACCTTATCGTGTTGTTTTTGGAAAGGTAAGAAAATATGACCCCTTATCATGCTGTTTCAGTATATGAAAATGTAACACACCCAATAGCTTTACAAGTAGGGTGATCTCTCTAGGTTGTAAGTGACCAGAACTATTATCATGTTCTCTTATACAAGGTAAAATAGAAGACCACCTAGTTTCAGTATATAGTGTTTGAAATTGTTTTATAGTAAATGAGTTAGTTATGTCAGTGCATCTAAATCAAGGAATAATGCCTGTATATCAGCAGTACTAAAAATAAACATTTCATAGGATAAATTCATTTTCAACTCCTTGTCATCTTCTATCAATAAAATTGCATCTTCCCACAGAGAATATAAACATACTATATACATATATAAATTTGAAATCTATTGAGATTTTTATAAGGAAAAAAATGCTGCATTAATTTTCCTGCAGTGTTTTTAAAACATGTCTTGGTTTTGCTTTGATATACATGTAGTATAACACCTAGTTACTTTTATTTATGACAATAGGAAGTTTATTGTCCTCTTTGTTAGCAACTTTTTTCCTTGTTGCTTTGTAGGGGAACAATACTTATAGCCAGTAAATAAGTATATATATACATGTATATTGAAACTCGCACATTGGGAAAGGGCTGAAATAAACTGTTACTCAATCCCATTCACTTTTGTGAATAAGATATTGTCAAATAAAAAAAATAATAACTCACACCCCTAACACAATATTGTACACAGAACCTTGAGCTACATGTAATTTGTGTACTGATCTGTCCCTCTTTAATTTCCTTTATAGATCTGGCTGGACAGTTTAGGAGCTGGCTCTGTGTTTTTTGTCTCCCTGACATGTTTTCCTGCCTTAGCTTCAGCTATTGTATCCACTCTTGATGTCTCCAGTGTCTGGAAAGGTTTGTACTGAAATAATATTAGGGCACTACATCAAAATATGAGTACCTATTTTACATGTAATCAGTCAAAAAAAATTTGTTTTAGATTTTGGGGTCACTTTGTCAGAGGTCAAGGTCAAAGGATCAAGAGATTGTTAATTTGATCATTGTACATTTATTTTACAATCCAGGTGTTTTTGTCCCCCGTTTTCACAAAAGCAAGGGGACATTAAATCTCATTCATCTGTCAGTCTGTCAGCCTATCTGTCACAAAAACTTTAACCTTGGTCATAACTTTTGAATGAGAAGAGATAAGGCTTTCATATTTCACATGTACATTACCTGTGACAAGACCTTTCCAAACATGCTATGATTATTGACCCTGTATCCTTTACCTTAAAATTTGACTTACTTTTCAAAAATTTTAAACTTGAACCTTGGTCAATACTTTTGAATAAGAAAAGATTAGGCTCTCATATTTCACATCTACATTACCTGTGACAAGACCTTTCCAAATACGCTATGATTTTCTACCCTGTGACCTTTACCTTGAGGATTGACCTACTTTTTAAAAATGTTAACAAATTTTAAATTGTTCATAATTTTTGAATGAGAAAAAAAAAGGGCTTTCATATTTCACCTGTGCATTATCTGTGACAAGACCTTTCCAAATATCTATGATATACTATGATTTTTCACCCAGTTACTTTGACCTTGAAGTCTGACCTACTTTTCAAAAATTTTACCATTGGTTACAACTTTTGAATGAGAAAAGATAGGGCATTCATATTTGACCTGTGCATTACCTGTGACAAGACATTTCCACACATTTTATGATTATTGACCCCATGACCTTGACTTTCAAGTTTGACCGAATTTTCAAAAAAATTAACATAGGTGATAACTTTTGAATGAGAGATGATAGTGTGTTTGTATTTGACAAGTGCATTACCTGTGTCAAAAAGTTTCCAAATATGATAGGATATCTGACCTTGATACCTTCCAGAAAGATACATCATTTTTGACTTTGTGACCTTGACCTAGAATTTTAACCTACTTATCAAAAATTTTAACTTTGGCCATAACATTTGCTCTAGAAGAGATAATGCTTTCATATTTTTTTTTCATGTGTGCATTACTTGTGACAAAATCTTTCGGATTGTATTATATTTGACCTCATGACTTAGATCATGAAGTTTGATGCAGTTTTGAGAAGCTTTAATCTTTGCCATAACTGTTATTAATTCAATAATTTATACCTTATTTGTATGCACAGACAAGACATGAAACACAAACAAGACAGTTACAATATGCCATAAATAACTGCCTCCTAAACACTAGGACACTGAAAGCTGGGGACCACAATAAAAAAGGAAAATATCAACCTTTAGTAACAAAAATACACTTCTAGAAACATACAGTATTATGCTGTGGGGTCTGTAATATTTATCATAATTGATGTATATTGAGTGGATCAACAGTAATGTATTACCTGATAACCCTGATGAAGTGGCAATGAACTTGTATTTGTTTTATGCTGAGTGAAAGATTGTTGTGTATAGCTACAAATTTCCTGGCCATTTTGGTCATAGTGAAAATAAATAAGACTGATCTAAATATATGTTCACTTTTCAGTTTACCCAGTGATTACAAAAATTGTAACATCCTTTGTGAATTGGAGTTTTACAATAACTATAAATTAGCTGTTTTATTCATATTGCAGATCAGTATTTTACTGCAGTTGTGTGTTTCCTTCTGTTCAACATGGGAGACTGGTGTGGGAGGGCAACAGCTGGAGCAATAAGATGGGTAAGATATTAATTGAATGCAGCTTACCTGCAGAGCTGTAGCTCTCCGAAAAAAAAAGATTGGAGAGCTACAGTGCCATCCATAGGAAAATTGTATATTTATGTGCACAAAAAGTTGCGCTTGGTGATGGATTTAGTTCTCCAAATTCTTAACTGCACAAAAAGCTTGATTTCCAAAAATTCCCTAGACCTCTATCAACTACTCTTGTAGTTGACATCTGCACGAAGCACATTGGACTGAATTGTCTTGCCAGCCAAAAAGGCAGTATAAAAAGGCAAATTTTCAATGGTCTCAATGTAAGGCCCAGAAGGGCTATTAACAATGGTTATTGGGAATGTTTTGTTGTGGAAATAGTAAAAGAATATGTAAGGAACACATGGTTAGGAATATTTTCAGATGGACGTTTAAATACCGGTATGCAGAGAAATAAATCAAAAAATACAACACATTTTTGTGTGCAATAAATGATTGGTGGCACTGTAGCTCTCTGGTTGTCCATCACATTTTTGTTTTCAAATCAGTGAGCTACAGATCTGCAGCTTAATGCAGCCATATTGAAAAAAACAACTTTGAAAAGCTGCTATACTTATGGACATGTAGTAGGTATGCATGATTATTATCTACTCAAATTGTAAATTTATATCCCCTAGATCATAACTCCAGGACCTTTGGTGGATTCAACTTGCTCATATTGTATATAGAGTTATTTTTGTTCCATGTTATTTCCCCATTACACTTGCTAACAATTTCATCCTGTTTTAAACTTGCCCAGACTTGTTTAAAAAGAGAATTAGCTGTCTCTGGTGAATTCACTCTATTATGAATTAGCTCACTGACAACCAAAGCAAAAGGGACAAATTCTCTGTATACAGCACATTGAAGTAATAACTGTTTTCATGATTATATTAAATGAGCAGCTAATCAGGTGATTGTCAAGTTCTTGGATCTCTTTTTAGCTCACCTGAGCTAAAAGCTCAAGTGAGCTTTTCTGATCACATTTTTTGTTGCATCTGCCAGTCAGTCCATCTGTCTGTAAACTTTTCACATTTTCAACATCTGAAGAGCCACTGGGCTAATTTCAACCAAACTTGCCACAAAGCATCCTTGGGTGAAGGGGAATCAAATTTGTTCAAATGATGGGCCATACCCTCTTTCAAGTGGAGATGATTAAGTATTAGTGAATGGCATCTGTCAAAAATTCTTCTTCTTAAGAACCACTAGGCCAGAAAACATGAAACTTACATGAAAGCTTCATTACATAGTGCAGATTCAATTCTGTACAAAACATGACCCCCTTGGGTAGGGTGGGGCCACAATAGGCAATCAAATTTTATATAGGAATTTTTGGAGAAAAAAAATCTTTAAAAATCTTCTCGAGAGAACAGCAAAGCCAAGATTAGTCATTTTTAGGTCACATGAGTCACTCTGATGACCTATTGAAATCTGTTTTCATCCCTCGTTATGTGTCCAGTGTTTTGCATTATCATTTGAATATTTCAGCTTCTTCTCTGGAGATGCTGAATCAATTCAAACCAATTTGCATTTTGCATTTATGGGTGGAGGAAGACCAATTTGCATATTGCATTTGTAGGAGGAAGAATTGTAAATTTTATGGTCCCCCCCCCCCCCATTTGTATTGTACTGAGGTGATCATTAAGACCTTTTGGCCTCTTGTTTTATATTTCAGCCAAGTGAAAACCATAGAAAGAAAATTCTCCTTATTTGTGCCATAAGGATTGTCTACATACCACTCATCATGTTCTGCAATATTGAGCCTAGGAAGAATAAAGATTGGACATTGTTTAAGAGTGATTTTGCCCCCTTGGTGTTCATTCTGACTCTTGGACTTACCAATGGATATTTCTCCACATTGTGTATGATGTATGGGCCAAAGTAAGTAAACAAACAAAATTTATCAATTTTGAAATGTCTATTAGTAATACAACTGAACTTTGGTATCTCGAACATGGATATCTCGAATACCATGGATATGTTGAAGTGATTTGGAAGTCCAAAGCACTTTTTAAGTACTGGTATTCTACCCTCAATGTCTCGAACCCTTGGAATTGCCTAAAAGTTTTTTCTCGGTCCCATTGAGTTCAAGATAATGAGGTTTGACTGTGCATGTATTTACATTTTAAAGTTGGTTTTTACTTATAAAGTGTGATGGATTTATATGTGTACAATCTGCAGCACCTCTTGGCATGATACATGTATCACAATTACAAACATATGATTTAATTGTTTTGCAAGAGATAACATAAAATCACTTTGGAGACATCCTTCTACATCATCTTATTGAAATATTGCATAAATGTTCATCATGTTTATTTTTACACTAAATGTTTTTGAAATGTTTCATCAAAATAAATTTCTTTGACAGTTTGTATTTTGAATAGAAAAGTATATATATATATGTACTTCTATAAAATGATAAAGTCACATGACTTTAGAGACATGCAGCGATGATGCTTGAAGCATCCCTAGGTATTTGTTTATGGTACAGGATTCCCTGTTTAAAACAATATGAATCTGCATCATGCAAATTATCAAGGCTATGCTGATTCAAACGAGAACAGTTGAACCTGGTCAACAGTTAAACTTTATGATACTTTTTATAATAAAAGTAACATCATTAGTAATTTTTTTTTTTTTATTCTATATTTCAGGAGGGTAGAAAGTAAATATGCAGAATATGCAGGGACATTTATGTCTGTTGCCTTGACAACAGGATTGGCTGCTGGATCGCTTTTAGGCTTTTTCCTGATTAGGATAGTGTAATTCCAGTCAGCTCAAAGACAAACAGCAAATCTGTCAAAAATTTTCTTATTAACCCTTTTTTTTTCTCTTTTTTTTTTATGAACTATCTCATACTTAGAAGGATAAAAAAATCTCTTTAACCTGGACATTTGATCATGTATTCTACTGGCTGTGAATCTCCAAATAATGGATCTTTTGGAAATATTATTGATATTTGTCTTGTGCATTTGTATAAAGTGTGTAAAGGAATGATTATAATTTTAAGCATTTATTTTTGCATGGAGTTAAATTTTAATTTTTTTTTTAATGTTGACTAAAAAATTAAATTTCTAATATAATAAATGTCTCTTTTATATGTGTCTTTCAGCAGTCTATCATGGTCCTATAAAACATCAGTGAATATGTTGGAATGATAAAAGAAATTTATTTAAGAACTTTGAGTTAAAGATGGTTATTTGCACCATTTCATGTATATGTAAATGGCCAGTCTGAAAAAATATACATTGTGAATCAAACAATAGAAACTTGGATGTTTTGTTTGCTTACAAAAATGGATGTCTCAATTTTCTTATGATACACTGGGCCATTATATGTCCATGATGACATGTCCTTGACTTTTAAGACATGACCTTTAGTCAGACACACCTGGAGGTGATAAGCATCAACACACCAAGTTTGAATTCATCCCAATCTATAACCCAGAAAGCATTTCACTATTCCATGATCTTGAGATCTTTACCTTTGAGACCTGACTATTTCATGAAACAAGGTACCATAGGTGGTTAGCAACAACACACAAGTATGAATTCTTTACAATTCTAAAATTTTGACCTGAACTTGATTTTAAATTTTATCATCAGTGACTTTGACCTCTGGGGAATGACCTTGATTTCATGCATATGGTTAGGTCATTAGCAAGAACATATCTTAACAATATGAATTGATTCCAATCAAAGTCAAAAACTAATGTCTCCTACCATTGGGGAAAACATAATAACAATGAAAGAAACATTATTATCTTAATGACTAGGAGGGGAAAGTAACATGAATAAACTAGCATACACATGAATTATTTGTAATACGAGAGCAGAATGTAGAAATGGCCTTGTCTTCAAAAAAAAAAATCTTACTATGCATTTGTTTTGTTACATGTTTGGAGCTAATTTCCAATAAGAGAATGAGGAAGGGATCAGAATTGCTCCATTACAAATAAAATGGCTAATCAAAAAATGTATTTAGATCGATTTCCTTCTGACCAATGAGTTTGAATAATACTAGATTTTATACCCAGTTTCCATGCAACAAAGTGTTGAGTCATACATTCTGAGAAGGGATAGCAGTCTATTGCATATTAATCCCCCCCCCCCCCCCCCCCACCAAATGGTTCTCATTTATAGTTGGATGTGTTAGAACACAAAAGATCAAGTAATAACAATGTAATCTAAACCAGCAACCTTTTCTACTGCATCCTGAACACATTACTGAGACAAATTCACATCCTTTATATGAAATACTGTGCGGCCCTATGCTCCATGCTCCCCAAGGAGCGAACAGGAATAAGTCGATATGAAAAACTGTATGTCCACTTTCTAGTAAGATGTACATTTTTTTTCAGCAAGATGATTTACAGGTGGTTTAGGAAAAATCTGAATGTTTAAATGTCTTTTTAAAAACATATTTATTATAAACAAAACATTATTATCACAGACACAGTCTTAAGGTGAAAATTTACAAATAATGTACTTCAGCAGTAATACAAAAGATTTTTTTTAAAAAACAGTAATTAGGTATTTTTAGTTTTTATCAGAAATACATACTGTAACAATAAAACAACATTCATTCATCTTTCTCACAGCCTTCAAAAGTAAATTCTATCACATATACTAAATACTTTCAAAAGAATTTTTTTTGTACAATTAACTTCAGAAAAGGTTTGCCTCACTTGTTGAAAGTAACAAATACACTTTCTGTTATGGTTTATATTGCCCTGAAGGTTTTTTTTTTTTTGTAAATAAGTTGGTTAATACATCACAGTAGTTTAGCACTGAATCTGTTCCTTCAAGAAACTTGGGCAGTTTCAGCAACAAATGTACCAGACTTGGTTTGAATTGGAATTTCTGGGGCATCCATTTGAGCCTGGGTCAAAAAGGTGTTGTCAGGTTCATCAGGTGGACTGAAAATTAAAGGAAAGCTATTATTTATTTATATATGTGGACAACATAATATAGATATTTTTTTATATAAAAAGTACAGTTTAACATTAATATCTAAAAACCCATGGATTTGGAAGTTTTTATTTAATATGTATTTTAAAACCTAAAAAATTGCGATTTCCAGAGATCTTGAAGTTTTTTGTTTTTTTTTTTTTGCCCCATACACAGGGGCTGGCATGATTTACACAAGTTTTCCTTTTTGAATGAAATTTATGGGAAAATTGTACAAAAATTCGGCATGTAAATTTCATGCGAATGTGTTCACAAAATTTTCAGGTGAAATTCATGTGATTTTCATGCGAGCCACTTTTGTCTGTGTAGAGGTTGAGATAATGAAGGTTGACTATACTTTATTTGTATAGCCAGTACTATTTTTGTCCATTTTAGTTTTTAAAAAAAAAATAATAGAATATCATATTTCTGCTGCTGTTTTCTTGAATCAGTTGTCAGCTTATGATGATTTACAAGCATATCAGAAAAAAAGTCTGAAAACAGCAAATAATTAGAAATTTCAAAGGTGAATGATAAATAAAACTTTCAAAAAAAATAAGTAATCAACATGAAACTCAAACTTGATCTGTCGTTATCAATATCAAGAGAAATAACCAAAATCAGTTCATAATCGAAGTGCATGGGGGAAAAAAAAGTCCAGAAAAGAGTGAATGATCAGAAATTTTAAGCTGCTTCTTAGAAGCAAATAACTTATTAAATGTAACATGGATCAATCAACATGAGACCTTAAAGATCTGTAAGTCATTAATATCAAATCAGCTCATCATCTACAAGCACATCAAAAAATAGACCAAAAAAACTAACTATAACAGAATGGCTGATTGATGAACAGAAAGGGGTAACACTAAATGCTACGACCAATTTCATGGTGGGGCATATAAAATGTACAGTTAACCTTTCAGTTGTCCAGCTTTAAGAACCTTCTAAATTTTCATGAAGCTTACCTTGGTTCATGTGAGATACTGAGTCTCTGGACTTTGTTTTCTATGGCAGGAAGGGGTGGGTCAGAGTTCATTTTAGTGACCTTTGCCCCTCCATTCATCCTGGCAAATAGGTAACGAATAACCCTTTCCTTCTGTTCCCAAGTCAGGTCACTGATGTCCACTTTACCGGAAATGTCGTACCTGTGAAATAATGAGCTAACATCAAATTTTGTCTTAGCTACATGTAAGCAATTTTTAGATACAATTCCATAAGGCATTTGATACTTTAATACATTTTGACTCTAATCCTCTATAACCGTTCATTCACTGTCAATAACTTTTTAAAATATCAATACTAATTGAAACAAGCATGCTATGTAAATGTTCCAGAAAATAGGACAAAATATTTTATTTGAATCAAACAATATATTCTGCATGCAGTATAAAATCACCATGCAGTGAACATGCCAGATAGAATACCAATGACAAAAGTGAAATGTATAATATATAATCAAGTATAATGAAGAGAATGATGCTATCAAACTTACGTGGCCTGCTTCCTATGAAAACAGAGGGCAGCGCAAATATAAAGAGTATAAATTGTGAAAAATGTCTCAAAATTATAGAATATCAGTATTTAGTTAAGGACAACATAAGGAAAAGGATGGGAAAACACAGAAACTAATGATGAGGAAAAGAAATTTTCCAATCCTACTGACTTTCAAAATCAGACAACAACAAAGAAGTGGGGTTGATAATGCAGTGTTGGAGATGTAGAGTTAGTCACCTAACGCATACTAGAGTTAAGAAAGATGATTCAAGCTTTGGTTTGAAATTTGAACACATTTCCAATACATTTACTACATGTATATCACATCTACATGTACTTCATGCAATGCAACGGTGTCGTGTCTATAACCAAACAAGATTTTACAACTGTAAATATTCGAGTTACTTTCTAAATTATTTGAAGTTATTTGTTTCAGTTAAAAAAAAGGTTAATGTTCGAGTTTAATAAGTATATACAACCAATATACACATGAATATAACATACATTTTTTCTGCAGCCTCAAGATCTTTGTACACACTGTTTGTGCTTATGCCAGATTTGTTGAATGTTCGGATTTTAGGGTATTCCCCTTTTCCTGCAAAGGCTTTCAGCATTTTTTCCTGGTAGGCTGCCTGAGCATCAACACGATATTGGGCCCTGAAAATTAATGAAGTCTTCCTTGAAATGATCATTCAGAAATAAATTGCAAAGTTATTACTCTTGCATTTTAACTGTTATGTCTAAGTACATTTTTGAGGCTAGAAATGCATGGAGTATCTGACTTCAACATTCAGCAAGTTAAAATCCTCATATCATCAGCTGACTGTGAATTTTCAAGGGCTGAGACAAGTTTCTAGTGCATGATTTTAAATTCTGACTAAATATCTGTCCTCAGGTTTTAAAATTGATTTAACAAAGCATTGAGCTTTGCTGGTGTATTAATTGAGATAAAAATTTAATGATATTTAAAGTGTGTTACACAGAAGAGAGATACATGACAAATGTGCAAAAATTACAATTATATCAAAAAATTATATGTGGGAAAAAAATTGTAGCAATTTTTTTTCATGGATTGAAATCCATTTATTTCAGCAACGTCATATACATGTATTACTGTAATCTAGAAAATTGCATTGACCACAAAACAACAATCGAAATAGACCAGTGAATGATCATGCAATATCAAATGTGAACAACTGAACTTGAATTTAGACTTAATGAAATGATTGATTATTTTATGTACATGTATATAATTCTTAAAATGCAGTATGAAGTGAAAAAAGATATATTTTAAAAATTAGCTACTGCTACTTGTTTCTAGTGAATTTATCATGCTGTATATTATTATTTGCTGACAAAGAAATTGTGAAACACATATTTTTACCTTCTTCAAGCTCAGAGAAGCTAATAAAATTTGGCTATTTGATTAGTTTTTTATGATGTTAAAAAAAATCAAATCCCGTCATTTCAACTGATTTATAAGTTAGAGTAAACAGAGTAAATATATTTGATATCTAACGTACTGATTAGCAGCAATTTCCATTCGGACTTGTTCCAGTGACTCTAGGAAGAACCGCTCAAGTTCTGTTCTCTGATCCAAAATATTTTTGGCCAGTCTCTTGACCTTGTTCATTTCCCTAGTCTTAAGGTCAATCACTCTTTGAAGTTTTGCAAGCTCAATTTTGGCGGCCTCATTTTCAGTCCTGGCCTGCTGTACAATGGTTTTCCTCTCAGTGTTAAATTCTCGTGACATGTGACTTAAAGACTTCTCCAAAGTTTGGGTTTTTTCCGTCAACTTTAAAATAGGTGTAATAGTATTATTAAACATATTGATTTATAATAACATATGATTGTATGATTAGCTGATTAAATGAGACACAATTCTATTTTAAGCAAATTATAAACTTTTAGACCATGTTTGCTGTACTATTATTTTCACAAACATAGAAATAACAAATGCCTGCGTTGAAAATGTATTTTTGTTGACGTTTTCTATCAATTCTCAAAATTCTTAATTTTGTAGATGCTTTGCATCAATTCCTAAATTTCAAAGTTTCAACCTCACATGTAATAAATACTTACTTCACCACCCATAGCCCCCACCCACCCCACCCCCTCCCCACCTGTGCATCTATATATTCTCACCTGTCTGATCTGTTCTTTCTGTTGTTTGACCTGCACAATTTTCTCTTGGACCATCATGTCATTCAGCTCTTTGTCCCCCCGAAGTTGCTCATTTTCCTCCTGAAGTTTGTCCCTTAGTTTCTTCAGGACCTCCCCTTCCTTCATATGATAACTTAAGGCTTCTGATAAACGTACATTTTCTTTGTACACAGACTTTGTGGTTTCATCAAGATTTCTATATTAAATATAGTTTTAAAATGCATTATTTTCAGGCTATGAGATGAAAAGACTTTATGAAAGATTCATGAGTGCATACTGGAACCTTCACTATAAATCTTCTTTATGATCCTTAAGTGATTCAAAGAAAGTTTTAACCTCCAGAAAGAAATTTTATAAAATGAAATACAACAGAAATATAATTTCAATTCAACACACTTCTCTTAAAATTATTTCCTAATGGGTGCAACAAGCAAATTCTTATAAATTATGACACCCTTCTTACTTACGATATTCTTATGAATTATAAGACAAACTTTTTACATACGATATTGCTTCTGTGTGAGCTCTTTCAGCTAATTCTGCTATTTTCTGATTGGCTTCTTGTTGTAATCTCATCTAGCAATTGTACAAAATGATGGCGATAAGCCACAATTCAAACGGCATAAATAATGAAACTTGTGACAAAGGCCAATAACTCTTCATCCAAACACATTCATTTTGAATTTCAGAATTTTACATTGAACTCTTTCAAAAAATGAGACATGAAAAAAGTTGACACATATGATATAATGAAAGTTCAATTGTTACCTTTTCTTCAAAAAACTTCTGTTCCATTCTTGTCAGTGTGCCCTTGTGATCACGATTAGCATTATACATAGCTTCTTTTATCTACAAATAAAAATATGTTTATCAATCATAGTATATATACTGGTATATTTAAATCAATATGAGTTTACAGTAAATTTGAAAAATCTTCCACCTCTGACTTACATCATCCAGCTCCTTCTGCATCTGACCTCTCTTCCTCCTGAATTCCTTGACCACTTTAAGTTCACTCTGCATCAGCTCCACCTCCCTTGTTTTCTCTGCTACTTTCTCCTCCAATTCATTAATTTGTGTACTGAAGTCTTCAACAATATTCTCTTTTTCTTTTCTGTGTTCTTTTTTCAGCTCTCGGATTGATTGCTTTAGCCTTTCATTCTGCCAGAAAATCATATTATTATTACACTATCTAGCACAAGTTCTATTCAATAAAATCTATATTAACTACTGTTTTTTTTTTCTAACAAGATAATACTTTTAATTTCCAATCTTTCATTAAATGAACAAATCTTGTGAAAAATAAATGTTATCCACCCTATTTTGTTTTAATACATAATTCCAAACAGAAAAAATACTAACCTCATTTTTCTTCTCTTCATCTTTTTTCTGTAGCAAAGTAAAACACTCTATAGTATCCTTTTCTGTGATTCTAATCATGTCCTGGAGCTGATCATTTTCCTTCATCAGCTGATTAGCATGCTCCCTGTTTAATCAATGCGAATTCTTTAATCAGACATTTATCAGTACATGTATATGTAATTTCTGAAAGCTAGGATCCACATTCCCACAATAATCCCTCAGGCCAACTGTAAAATAATGTTTGTTTTCCATCTCCTGACTCAGGATGAAAAAATTGGGTTGGGTGAGAATTTTTTTTCTCAGAAAATTTCAACATCAATACTGAATTTTCAAAGTCTATTTTCCAGAATGCATAAAAAAAATTATTGTTTCCTGGAGATTAAAAAAAGGTTTGAGTCAGGCCACTTTTAGGGCTCGGGAGAGGGCAACCAAACAATTTTATTAAAAATGGCCTCAGGTTTGTTTTTTTAACCACCAAGCAAAAGTCAGGATATGCAATTTTGGAAACAAAGTAAATGTATTCTAAATTATCTTATATATCAGCATGAGAGTAATTTAATTTGGCAATAACAATTATACATATTTTTTTGGAAAAACAATTTTACCTGTATTCCTGTTTGGAGGTCTCTGCAATCTCCAGTCGAGTCTCCCAAACTTTGGAGTTGGCTGCTGCAATCTTTGCAACTGACTCATTCTTCTTAGATCCTTTCTTTCCCTTTTTCCTGTAACAAAATAGAAAATGCTCTAATGCAAAGCATGGCAAATCATTTTTCTGAAACAGACTCATTTAAATGACATGATTCCATTGAATATTATATAATCACTGTCTAACAATATTATTACAAAAATGTATGTATCTTAAAGGATAATATACTTGTATTATTACTTCTATACTTTAATTATGTCAGATATGAATAATCATGATATTTAACAAAAAAGGAGGGGAATTAAGGACTGGTTTTCTGTAGACCTAGTAGCTTAAAGATACCTCCATCTTCAATGATAATCCAATAACAGTGCAGAAAATGCAATGCTCTGAAGTTTTACTTTCTATTTTTTTTTTTGAACATCAACAGTTACCTGAATTTCAAAAGACCCCCCCCTCCCCCCAAAAAAAGGATGATTATATTTCATAATTTGGAGAAAAAATTCAAATGAACTTGTTTTTAATGAATGACAATTAATAACAATTGAGGAATATGTTTGTAATAACACACTGTGTTCACATTCACAGGGAAACGGAATGTGTAGCTAGTGCACAGTTTTCAAATCAGCTGCAATCAGAAAACAGGCATCTCACTGAACATATACATGCAAATTTCCCTTTTCCCATTTCTTACACTCAGTAGAATAGCATAGCATGAATGAATGAATATTCTTAAAACAAAATTGATTTTAAAGTCTTTTCCTTTGTTAAAATGTTCATTTATGCCATGCCAAAATCTGTTAACAATGTATGACATGTAATCGATACAAAAGCCCCATTCATTACAGATAAGCAGTCCATCTGCCTACAAAGTCATTGAAAGCACACACAACATTGAAACATCATTCTTGTGTAGGGTATTCATGATAAACTTACCCATTTCTAAAAATGTAAGAGTTTGATAAATAAAAAACAAATCAACAAACATTTACAACAGTTAAACTACAACATTAACTACAATATTAATGATACGAGATAAATTATAATATATCAATACCTAACTACAAGTTTTTTTCCCTTAATTTGGTTTAACAAGTTCCCCTTTGAACATATCTAATAACAATTATAATTTCTCTACAAAATGAAAGGGTCGATTCATCTGATTATTTTATATATATTACTAAAGATTCACAAATCAAATAACAAAACAAAGAAATCAGATGTATGAAATTGCAATAAATATGTTAAAATCTTTGTTTATGAGTTCAAATGAACTATGCAACAATTGGCGCACCCTTTCTTTCCTTTTCCCTTTCCTTTCTTGCCTTTCTTCGGCATTTTGATGCAAATTTATGAAGCCTTGACCATAAACACTTTTTTCCAATATTTCTCCTAATAGACCTCGGCAGCCATATTGTTTTCGCAGTGTTATGGTAACATCATGATCCGAGGAAAATTTTATATCCTCGATAAAAATAAGATTTTTATTCTTCATTTTTTAAAATATTGGATGACAGTAACAATTTAAGTGATAATTATATATTTATTTTTATTTTTTTTTTTTTTGTAATAATTTTTTTTATTTCATTTCCTTTTCAAAGGTCACGGGCAATCATTACTTCCGGTCAGTAGTAAACAAGCACGACGGCAGTAAAAATAGAGCAACACGTCAGTCAAAATTTGATGACGAAAGAAGGGCTTAGGTAAATTACTAAATGGAGTAATTGAATGAGATGTTCGTAGCCCTGAGATTCGATTCGGCTGGATATTTCGATTATTTATGCCTTTACCAGTATCTACAAATATCCAATAGACTGATAGAGCCCAGTCGACTTGGCTTTCAAAAGGACACGAACAACGAATATCAACCAGAAACGAACATGGGCGAAAAAACATTTTAGCCAAAGAGCTAATAAGTAAGACCATAATTTTTTAGTTGCCTATCGAATTATCTTGTAACGTTAGAAATTATATATTTGAATTCAAAAAAGAAGTATTGTAAAGTTGTTCAAGTCACAGGAGTTTGCAATTTTATCAATAAAGTCAATAGAAATCACTCTTTTGACCAAGCCAGCTCATGGCTTGGTCAATCGACTTTATTGATAAAATTGCGAACTCCTGTGTTCAAGTGGATTTTGTTTTGCCTACATAGCACATCTAAACCCTTGGCTTGCGAAGATGACATAACATGACAAACTCATTTGGATCACTGTATCCAGTGTTTATCCATCATTCTAATGCAATTTTTTTGTAATCCACATTTTGATTTGCTAAAGCACTGATGGCTTAGGCAGTTGAATGAGCATTAATGAGAGTGAAAACTTTTGATTGTGACATTGTAATTGAATGATGCAAAAACACAATGTCATTCAAAATCATTTCATTACATGTTTCCTATAACACCCCCCCCCCCCCCCCAAAAAAAAACAACGAGATAAGATGAAAACATTAAACAAAATTCATAAATTGCATTAGAATTGGAATAACTATCTTTTCATTTGTTTCTTTCTACTGTTAATGCTGATTTAATGGTCACAAAAATCTGTTAAACTCTGTTTGCAACCCAGTAATCAGCATTAATGCCATTTAATTGTCGCAAATAATGAATGAGAAGACAGTTATTTCCTAAGCAAGGGTCATAGAGAGTAGTCACACTTTCACAAAAAACTTTAATTTTCTTATTTCAAATCACATTAATTTAATGTGAAATTTCTTAAAAAGATACATTGTAAGATGCTAGCTGCAGAACTGTAGCTCTGAGGGAAATAAAATTTTGACAGACATTCCAGAGAGCTAGGAAGCCATCCATTGAAATAACCTTTGATTTACAGCAACACTTTTTTGTTGCAAGCTTCAGATTTGTTTCACACCAACCATACACATTCTTCTGCCTAAAGCATGTTATCTTTTGCTTAATTTACCTCTAAATGATTCCAAAATATTGTTGTAAAAGTAAAATAGGTGAAACACCTGTTAGAGTTATGCCCCTTCATCATAATGCAATGTAATGGCAGAAACTATGCCATTCCAAAGCCATAGAGAGCCATCTGGAACCGTAAATCTTTGCACCTTAACATATTTTAAGCTCTATGTTATATATTTCAGATATTTTCACACATGTAGGAATAATTAGCAATGATGCAGAAAGATGTTCAATTCAGCACCACGCTATAGCATGTATCAGCTCCGTGGAAGAGTCAGTGGATTTCTGGCAGTTGTGTTAGTTGTTGCTCTGATCCTTGTGGTAACTGGATATGATGATTTTAAACACAAGTTCATCAGGAATTCCATTTTTAAGGACAAGAAAAATCCATATGTATTTAATGGAGAAGCCACATTGAATGTGCCACATGAACAATTAAAGGGAAATAATGGATTTGCACAGGTTACTCCAAACTATGGTATCAACAGTGAAAAGGATATTTATGCCATTGTATTTGATGCAGGAAGCACTGGATCAAGAGTTCATGTTTTCAAGTTCAAAATTATGAAAGGTAGTCCATGTATTTGAATTAGAATTTGTAAATATTCTGAACACTCATTGGGACAACTTTGTACACCCTGATACAAGGGGTGTGCAAGATGTATGTTTTCTGATTGTGCAAAATATTAGCAGAGTCATGAGCGATTTATTTTTTCACTACTTAGATTTTTTTTTACTGAAGTTCTATTGTAATATTTCATTACAATATGCATATATGAGTTGAAGCTGATTATAAATACATGTATTTTTTTATTGCTAGGTGGTTTGTTGAAATTAGAGAAGGAACTTTTCAAGACAACTAAGCCGGGACTGTCAGCTTATGCAAATGATCCTCATTTAGTGAGCCTTTTTTTAGGTCACCTGAGTCACTCAGGTGACCTATTGCTAATTGTTTTCGTCCATCGTCGTGCGTCCTCCGTCGTGTGTTAACATTTGAACATTTTCAGCTTCTCCTCTGAAACCGCTGAACAAATTTCAGCCAATTTTTGCATATGGCATCTATGTGTGAAGGGGAACAAAATTTGTGAATTTCATGGTCCCTGCCCCCCTGGGGCCTGAGGGGTGGGGCTAAAACCATCAAAATTAATGGAATCTTTAAAAATCTTCTTCTTTACTCCTGGACATCAAGCAGTCAAACTGTTGACATGATTGTAATAAGCATTGAGCCCTCTACCAAAATTGTGAAATTCATGGCCCCAGGGTCAGGGATTCTGGTGCTAGGGCGGGGCTTTATAGATCATATAGTGAAAGTGCATTATTTCTTTAAAAATCTTCTTCTCTACTCCTGGGTATTATTGAAACAAATTGAATACATAGTTATGATAAGCAAGGGTGACTCTACCAAAATTGTGAAATTCATGGCCCCAGGTTCAGGGGTTCTGGTGCTAGGGTGGGGCTATATAGATCGTATAGGGAAAGTGCATTATTTCTTTGAAAATCTTCTGTACTCCTGGGTATTATTTAAACAAATTAGATACAGAGTTATGATCAGCAAGGGTGACTCTACCAAAATAGTGAAATTCATGGCCCAAGGGTCAGGGGTTCTGGTGCTGGGGGGGGGGGGGGGGTATATAGATCATATAGTGAAAGTGCATTATTTCTTTAAAAATCTTCTTCTCTACTCCTTGGTATTATTGAAACAAATTAAATACATAGTTATGATAAGCAAGAGTGACTCTACCAAAATTGTGAAATTCATAGCCCCAGGGTCAGGGGTTCTGGTGCGGGGGGGGGGGGGGGGGGGGGCTATATAGATCATATAGTGAAAGTGCATTATTTCTTTGAAAATCTTCTTCTCTACTCCTGGGTATTATTTAAACAAATTAAATACATTGTTATGATAAGCAAGAGTAACTCTACCAAAATTGTGAATTTCATGGCCCCTAGGTCAGGGGTTCTGATGTTAGGGCGGGGCTCTATTTATTATATAGTGAAAATGCATTAATGCTTTAAAAATCTTCTTCTCTGCTTCTGGGTATTATTTAACAAACTAAGTACATTGTTATGATAAGCAAGGACACCTCTTCCAAAATTGTGAAATTCATGGCCCCAGGGACAGGGGTTTTTGTGCTAGGGTGGGGCTATATAGCTCCTACAGTGAAGGTGAATTATTTCTTTGAAAATCTTCTTCTCTGCCCCTGGGTACTATTTAAACAAACTAAGTACATTGTTATGATATGCAAGGATGTCTCTTCTAAAATTGATAATTTCATGGCCCCAGGGTCAAGGGTTCTGGTCAAAAGGTGGGGGGGGGGGCTCTATTGATTATATAGTGAAAAATCAAAATTTCTTTGAAAATATTCTTTTCTGCTTCTGGTAAAAAAGCAAAGAAGCTAAGTATATAGTTATGATGAGCAAGAGTGCTTCTTCCAGAGTAGTGAATTGCATGACCCCTGGGTCAGATGTGCTGGTATAAGGGTGGGGCTGTTGATAATGTAGTGAAAATGCATTAATTCTATTAAATAATCCTGTCTGCTCCTTAATGTTAAGCAGTTAAACAAAGTGATTACTTATGATGAGCAAACTTGAAACTTCTGGTCCCAGGGTGAGAGGCTCTGGTGTTTCTCGGTGGTGAAGGGGGGGGGGGGTGGGGGTGGGTGGGGAGGGGCTCTACTGATAATATTGTGAATCTGTAGTGAAAATGCATTATTTCTTTAAAAATCTTCTCTGCACTTGGGCATATCAGAGGCAAAAAGTGTAAAAGTTGTAATAAGGAAGGGTATTTTTACCAGATTTTTGAACATCTGGACCATTTGGTCAAGTGTTCTGGTCCTAGCCAGGGCTCAATTGATTTGCATTCTACTGAGAGGAGTTATTCCCCTTTGCCGTTTACTTTTGATAATTAATCATTGTAAATAATGTACTTGAAAAATTAATAGAATAAGAGAATTATGCAAGAATTTTTATCGTATAATACAAAAAGTATTTTCGTAGTTTTAATGATCATGTGGACTTGTAAGTAATAGATAAATAAAAATGAGACAAAAATAACTTGTCTTATTAAATGTTCATCAAAGACTAAGAGAGGCCAATGTAAGAGATTACAACAAGGAATTAAAATAGTTCAAAAGCACTGAAAGTTTCTTAATATACTGTATGGTGATAGTGATAAATGGGGAACAGATTAGAACCTAATTTATGAACTGTTAATGAATAGTAGACTAATTATTTTGTTGATCCTGATCACCCTATTTTTCTTACTTTTGGGCAACAAAGCTTCACCTTTCATTTCATTTTAATACTCTATGGATCCTCTAAATTGTTGTATTGTACTCAGGTGACCGTTAAGGCCCTTGGGCCTCTTGTTTTTAAATAGAACAATATTTGAATTAAGTATACAAACAGTATTTACCAGTGTATGTAAAGCCATAGTTACAGTGTTGTATGATTACGACCACTGTGGTGTCATTAAGGTATTCATAAGTCATCTCAGTGAAAAAAGCATGACTCTTCCAGTTGTGATATAGCTGCAGAACTAGCTCTCTAGTTGAGAAAAAATTAGGACACATAAACCAGAGAGCTACAGATCAAAGTGATGTAAAAACCTTCGATTTATGCCGCCACTTTTTTGTTGCTCGCTTCGGGTATTATTTCTTATATTTTATGCGTTCCCTCAAGTCACAAATGGTATCCGAAAATTATTCATATATTTTACTCCGACCCATTCTTCATACTTTGTTTACCTTTCAACTGTTTCCAAATGACCCTATGTGACCTTGGAATATCATTTTTAAAAAATTTCTCATTCCAACATCCATGTTGGGAGTCGTGCAGAAAAAACGTTTTTAAAAGATCATCCATTTGCCGAGAAAATATGAATAAAAAATCTGGAGGTTCAAATATCATGTATATTCATTTGTCTGTAAAGAAAACAATATGTATGTAAAAAATAAGATAAATAAAACCGATCGGTTGTGTTATTATCAGCATCACATGGAGCTCGGAATGCATTTTTTTTAACTGATACTCCAAGACTACATATGGTCGTTTGGAACTGTTGAAAGGTAAATAAAGTGTCAGGAATAGGAGTAAAAATATATAATTTATTACTGGATGCCATGTTTGAAGCGGTGGAACGCATGAAATACAAGAAATAATACCTGAAGTGAGCAACAAAAAAGGTTTTTACAACGCTTGGATCTGTAGCTCTCTGGTTTATCTGTCCGAATTTTCTCAACCAGAGAGCTACAGTTCTGCAGCTAGTTGTGATAATGAATAATTATGTATTTAAAAGTAAACAAATACTAGCAAAAGTAATATTATGCAAAATTCTTTTCCTGTTTTAATGACAGTGCATTTTGTTAAGTACATCATGTGCATTTGTTTCTTTATGTTTGTTATTATGTAAATTTTTAATATTGAGGGCTTTGTTTATTAAAGGCTGCTGAGTCATTAAGGCCTATGGTAATTGAAGCACTAGCTTTTATTCCAAAAGCCAAGCAGAGGTCAACACCAATAACTCTGAAAGCCACTGCGGGACTCCGTCTATTGCCTGAAGGGGCAGCTGACAACATTCTTAATGAGGTAGAATTTATTGTAACCTTAGATGTACTGTGAAAAAATGTTTCTTAATTTATTTGAAAATTAGTGCTGTGATGAAAATACTAATAAGAAAAATTAACACCTAAAAAAAAGATACTGAATAATTTACTTGAAAGCAATTTTTTAAAATATGGATAAAACCTCAAACTTAAAGGGCAAGTAATGTATATTGTAGAGTAAAGTGAAGTAAGTAGATTTTTAATTCTTAGGTTACACAGATGTTTAAAGAATATCCATTTCCTCTGGGTGAAATCAGTATAATGGATGGAATTGATGAAGGTGTGTGTTCATACATTCTTACAATTTAATTTGATGTCACTAAAAAGTGTGTGTATTTCGTATGTTTGATGTTAGATGTAATGAGCTTTGTTTCAACATACCATAATTTGTAGATGTAATAATTTTGCAGGAATTTTCAGTTGGATAACACTGAATTATATTATAGGTAAGCCCTTTCTTGTGATTGTTTCATTTTAATTTTGCAATTCAAAATTCTTTTTTTTCTTTCTATCAGAAGCATTTTGGGTTACCAGAAGTTATATGCATTGCTAGAAAGTACTGAATAAGGAATTTAAGACAAGTGTAGTAGATTTGAAGCTCAAACAAGTAAATATAAGATAGATATAAAGATAAGATTAGTACATATAATACTCTATCTAGTGCCTTTACATAAATTTACAGGTACCCTCACTAGTGGCAACAAAACAGTGGCTGCTCTGGATTTAGGAGGAGGATCTACACAAATTACATTTGTTCCTCAACACAGGGTAAATTTTAACTATGGAGTTCAGTTTTTATGTAGTGTATATTTTTTAATAGCCAAACAAAAAGTATTGTTTGCTTATTCTGGATGTACACATGTACATGATAAAGGACGTTTTACTTAAAAAAAAACGAGATGTGATAAAGATTGTATACCGTGTAAGTAGAAATTTTAGTGAGGATTCAATTTTGGCATTTTTTGTGGGGATATTAAAATTGAATATCGCTAACAATTCTTCCTGCATTGGAGGTTACTGTTGTCTTTCTAGGCATCATTGAATTGCTAAAATTACTTCTCGCTAAAAATTAATACAGTACTGATTTTTTAGGATAAACTGCTAAATTTGCGTCTCACTAAAAATTCCACTTATACAGTATATATAAGGATAGGCTTGAAGCAAGAGTATTTCCTTAGTATATTATTTCTGTATGATATCATAATGAACACATACTGTACATTTAGAGTATTTTAAATAATTTGATGATGAGTGTCGATGATATGATTTTTTTTTCCTATATAGGAAACCATAAAAGCTGTTCCTAAAAATTTTACAAGTAAAATTACACTGTTCAACAGAAGCCACAAGTTATATACACACAGGTATGTTGTCAACCAGGCAGATGAGATTGAATATAGAAAAAATAACTGAAAACTTATTAACTGTCTGCCTACCTGTCTTCCTCATAAGAAAAAAGGTCAGTTTCATCAGCAGAAACTTTAGTTTGTGATTCAGTGATTTATGAAGTAGGACATATGCTCTTTAATGTTTATTAAATTTCTCCAAGATTACTGTTTTTGGACATATACAAGATTCAGATATTGCAGTTTGTTAAGCAAACCTGTATTAACTAACTGAAATTCTTTTTTCTAGCTATCTTGGCCAAGGCTTAATGTCAGCAAGGTTTTCTCTTCTGTCCAATGATAAAAAGCCAGGTAAAAAAAGTAGAATTTACTTACTTTTTCCTCCCTTAAATAATACAGTTGTGTATATATTACATGTATTCATACAAATGAAATAGAAAATTTGTATTAAGTGTAGCTTTATTTCAGTCATTTTTTTTAGCCAGATTTCTCTCAGGATAGAAATTTTTTATACTATGTTACTCAAGAAATAAATATATCTTTATTTTCAACAGATGAAGTAGCAAATACTACCATTCTCTCTAGCCCTTGCTTGCCACATAAATTCTCAGGACATTTTAGATTAGGATCACACAAATTTCAAGTACGGTAAGTATGCAAATGTCCTGTGTTCTGTCTTGTGCTAAATATTTCAGATTTTAATGTTGACACATCCATACAAAGTTGAGTGTACAAATTTTGAAGTGCATAGATTACAGTCATACATACAAATTTGCCCTTATTCTTCCCAGGAATACCAGAGAACATAGGCACAGTGTTCAATACAGGTTTGATTCCTTGATTAAAAACTATGCATCCACATTATCCCCATATCATCTTTTATTTTGTTGGTTACATACTTGCAGGCACATCTTTCCTAATATGGACTTCCCTTATAAAAAATCACAAGTGCAAGAAGTTTTTTAAAACTTCCAATAATTTTTTTGTGTCTGAACTCTGAAGTAAATTTAACAATACCTGGTACCCATACTGGTAATCTTCCCAGAATTCCTTTTGAATGACAGTGAATTTTTTTGTAATGGTCATTTTCTTTGATGAAATAAGTTCTTATGTATTAAGTATTGGGATGTCTTCTATGAATGATTCTCAACACTTTTTGGCATGTTTTATTTTTTGTTGCACCCTGTCCAAGATTAACCCAAAGTATTGAATTCGAAGTCCTATATTCAAATCATGATTATGCAAAGGTTGGAAGTGATAAAATTACTGGCTTGCTTATATCACATCTAAATAGGTCATAAGCATTTTGGCTTAACAAAAGTACCCAAAATAAATACACGAGTTGCCAATGGCAACTCGATTTAGACAAATGTTGCATGCGAGTGGAGGGTGTAACAAAAGTTATTGGCTGAGACTTGGGCAACATATGATTTGTTGATGCCTGTAGCCAATATTTTTGTCTTCATGTCCAACTTATCATACATTGAATGTTACCCTCATACTTAGTCAATAACTTTGTATTGAAAGTCTGGAGTGGGTGTTGTTTTTTAATGTATATTTTGGGATTTGATTGTTGACATATGCAGAAAGAGGGGGTCTAAAGCTTTTTAAGATGATTATATCAAAATTTTACCAAAAATCTAACATATATTTTTCTTGTCTTTCCATCTGTTTTGTCTATCTGTCTACATTATTTGCCTTTTAAGTATTATTGAATATAGAGATAGAGATTCCATCTTTGCTAAAATGAAATATCAGGGCTTCCTGTGAAGTCAAGGTTATATTTGGAAGTCAGAGATGAAATACAAAATAACCATTAGAAGAATACTTTATTTGTGGATATTTATCATCAATGAAAAAAAAGTTAGGATCCCTCTTGTGCTAAGTTTTGAGGTTGATATCCATTGACTGTATCATCTCTCTTAGTTGAATACATGTAATCGTTTATGGATCTATTTTTATTTTTTCTCTTTGTATTTAATTTTTCCTTGCATTTCTGTAAACTTAAAGTTCTCTGATAAAAGAAAGGTATAAAATGAGAGAAGAAATTCTTTTCCTAAGATGTGCATAATAGATGTATAACGCTTGGTGAAAGATAAAAGCTACTATTTTGAATAACCAAATAGTGATGGAATTTAAAAAAAACATGATTTTTATTGATTATATTCCATTGATGATTTCATCTCACTTCAGATACATTTGATGAAATCTATTGAATTTGGTTAATACTCAACAAAAATTATGCATGGATAATTTATACTGGTATCACAATGGCATACATATGACACAATTTAAATCTTTTTATCTTCTATGTACCAAGTGAAAAAGTTTTCTTGGGTTAGCACACCCTGGTTAGTAAGGCAAAACAATTAATTTAAAATACTGTTCAATGTATTTTAATGTTTTCTCTCCTTCCTTTTTCTTCACTTCAAAATTCATCTTTAAAAAAGGATGATCTAATAAGCACTCCCCTTTCTCAATTTTACAAGTGCCACTAGATTGGTAATCTGACCAAAGTCTTTAAAACTGGGAAATAAACATAAGCAAGAGAATGGTAACTGAGAAAAAGCAGTGCTTTGTAATCAATTCTTCTGGCTGAAAATGTCTGACAAGCAATTGATGAGTCTTTCCTTTTTTTCTTCTTTTTTTTTCCTTTTGTGGCTTTGGGGTTTCAACCCAAGATTGGTGAGAAAAGGGGAAAAAAATACTTGTCAGTATGTACTGCTGGTGGTATTGCCATTTACAAACATATCAAACAGCATGTCAGTATTTGTCAGTTGTGTCATAACTTGAAAGGGGGAAAAGTGTGTTAAAATATTTCAAAATCATAGATAAATATGACATGCATTTTCTGAAATCAACATAACAAAAGTTATGGACAAATTTCAATAACTTTTTTTTATATTAACAGTGTTGGGTTTTGCTGAACTTTGAAAAGTAAAAACTAAAGTAGTTTTAAAGGCTTGTTATTAAATGCTTTTTATACATGCTCACTATTCTTTTAATGTTTAATGGAGCTTTTGCTTGTTGACATTTTCAAAGTTAGTATTCATAGAGTTTTTGTCATAAATAGATGCAGAACACTTTATTTTTAATCTTATTTACCTGAATGCATAATTTTTTTTTTATATTTCATTAAAGATTTACAGGAAATTCAACAAACTTTGTTCAATTATTAAAATGAACCCCTCAGTCTACCCTAAGCATTCAATAATAAACAATCCAGTAGGTAACCTTGTCTTACCTAGACCTTTTTCATGTGCTTTGTCTATTCTATATTTTACACAGTGCCCTGACTAATGGCAGCTCCTTTAATGCCTGTCTGAAGGATGCCGTAACCTTTGTGGATAATTATATGGTGGACGTTAAAGAACTTAGTAATGCAGATATCTATATCTTCTCCTATTTCTTTGATAGAGCCAAAGATGCTGGGATTATAGGTAATAGAAAATTCATTGATTGATCTTTGTATCAGAATTTTACTACATGTATGTGAATCAGGTGACAAGTGTTTTCATTGTGTTCAAAAAATGCTAAAATTGTCATTTAACTAATCAATTTGTTACATATGTACATGTAATGAAAAAAAGTGTTAAATTGTCCCCCTTTCGACATTGTAGCAAAAAATGGTGGACAGATGACTATAAAAGATTTCAAAAGAGCAGCTAAGCATTGTAGGTATTCTGAGCAATAAGATGAAAGGGGATTCTCTCAGTGAATGACTCAATAATAAAATGAGAAATTGAAATAGTGTTTTACTCTTCAACTACATGTAATTGATTTTGAAACAAAACATTAATGGTGCATTTATGAAAAAGGATTATTGATTGTAACAAGGCTGAAGATGACGTAGTGCCAGTTTTCAATGAGCCTAATTTTTATTTGAACAGATTTTTCCAATCCTTTACCGGATCATCCATATCTAGGGATGGATTTGACCTACATTTATGCTTTACTTCATGATGGCTACCACATACGATCAAACAAAGGACTGGAGGTGAGCCATAGTGTGATGGAAATTGTTCTTAATGCCTTAAAAGCCAAAAACTTCTCTTTAAACTTAAGTTAGCAATATCAAATATTTCACTTCCGTAATTAGTATGTTTAATGGATATACATTAGTCCAACATGTACAATATGGTGTTGATTTGGAAAACATCAGCATAAGTACATAATATTTTATTTTATAGTAAGTATTTTATTGTCTCGGGCTTTAGCAAAATCCGTGGGAGTTAAATCTCATTTGTCTGTTGGTCTGTTTGTCACAAAAACTTTAACCTTGATCATAACTTTTGAATGAGAAAAGACATGTGCATCACCTGTAACAAGACCTTTCCAAATATTCTGATTTTGACTCTTTTATGTCCTTGAAGTTTGACCTACTTTTCCAAAGGATCAACATTTGGTGATAATTTAACTTTTAATGAGATGAAGATAGGTAGTTCATATTTTTCATGTGCATTACCTGTTACAAGGTCTCTGAATGTTCTATCAGGGGTATGGTTTTTGACCTCTTAATTGACCTTGAAGTTTAACCTACAGTACTTTTAAAAAATTTTAACATTGGTGATAACTTTTGAATGAGGGAATCTAAGGCCTTTCATATTTTAAATGTGCATTACCTTTGACAATACCTTTCAGAAAAAGCCATAATTTTTACTTCATGATATTGACCTAGAAGTTTTACCTACTTATTTAAAAATTTAACTTTGGCTGTAACTTTAGTTCTAGAAGAGACGAGACTTTCATTTTTTTTTTTACTTGAACAGTACTTGAGACAAGACCTTTTGGACTGTATTATGATGTTTGACCCCTTGATCTTGAAGTTTTATGCAGTTTCAAAAAAATGTAAATTTTATTTATCAAAAAATTTAAATCATTTTGGTATGATGGACAGACAAGACAGGACAAACAGACAAGACAGTTGCAATATTTCATAAATAATTGCATCCCAACCACTAAGATACCAAAAGCAGGGGACCACAATTCTTTAATTTTGCTTGTTGTAATTTAATTGTGTTATTTGTACCAATAAGTAAGAATTAGTTTTTAAAATCAACATGCTAAAATAAGGAATCTAAAAGAAAAACCTGTGTCAGTATGTGAATAAATCAAGAATTATTTCTTTTCAGGTGATAAAGAAATTGAATGGAACAGAAATAAGCTGGGCATTAGGATCTGCATTTCATTTACTATCAAGCATGGGTTTAGCTAGATAATGTTATCATTCCATGATTCAAGTACTCAAGTAAATGTTAGCCAAGAATTGTGATTGTGTTTCCAGATTTGTAATTTGTGTTTTATTTTTGTCCTCATTTTTTTTAATTGGTTAAAAATTTATCTGGTCTGCTTTAAGGTGAGGCATTTAACATAGTGCCTTTAACTACATTTGCATTTAAATTGCACCAGTTTTGATAATTTTTTTCACTCCATGTTTAGGTTATGGTCAAACTATGCTTGAAAAAAATCACATCGTGATACACTTTCATATTTCCACCACATTGCTGAATTCATGAACTTACCAAGCTCTGTAAACATGTATTTGATTGTGTTGCTGTGTATCTGTGTGTGTGTCTGTGGGGGAGGGGGTGATGTTCAGGGTTATTGTAACCATATTTCACCAGAGTTTAAATCATGTAAACAATAAAGTCACAGTATGAATATTGATGATGCAGATTTACCTGACGGCTCATCGATTCTATTCAGAAAAGTTAATTCAGACATAGGAACAAACAGATATTAATGCACAATAAAAAGGCATGAGGATTAAACAGTGCATTTTAATCCCTTTCCATTGAAGAAAGACAAGAATGACTTCAGCTTTATGATATACATGTATACTTAAGCATGCTATACTTTAACAGTATTTGGGATCTAAATATATTCTCTGACGTACCATACTTTAACAAATTTGGGATCTAACTGGGTAAAAATTTATTCATTGTGAAAAATATAAGCACAGATTGTATAATATGTTCTTGTTGTATGTGATATGATACAATTATGATTGAAAAGTCCCATTTCTAATTTATTAACAATATATTCAAATAGTCTGTATTATTGATGTATACAATATCAGCATTTCGTGTATGTGAGTCATATTGGATAACTTTAAAGGCTAGTGAATCCGAAGCTTTCATAATATGTGATTATACTGTTTACTAGAAACATTTTGTTGATATTCACTTTTCCTGAATATGCTCCCTTGATTTGTCATTTACAGTGTATACCTAGATAATTTGATACTTCTTTGGTATAATTTTTTTGTGGTTTAGTTGAGGTGAATGAGAATTAACATGTATATAATGCATTTATGGTACCAGAATACCACATTGTTTCTATATGACATGTATTTACATATGTAATTATCCATTTTTCTCTGTTCGTTGTATGAGGGTTTTATAGTATTGTTTCCATTCCTGCATTATATGTCTGCTCAACTTTGCACTATTTTATGTAAATTCACCTCCCAAATATGTAGTCCATTTCACAAGAAAGCACAAATTCAGTATTTAAAAATATCAAGAATTCATTACTTAAAGGATGAACAGGGTGGAATGGATTATTAGAGGGTTATTCATTTTAATACATGGGCTTTTTCACTAGAGACGTACAGGTTCAAATATTTGAACCAAAGTCATGACAATCAATTGTCTTTTATAAAATGAAAAACTTTAAATATTAGATGATAAAATGAGAGGGAGAACATTTGGCATTTAAGACAGAAGAGAGTGAAAAGTATACTTGTTTTTATACAAAGAAGATATCTTTCATAGAGACAAAAGATGTATGTTCTTTAGCAAAACAGATGTCTGAATAAAACACATATGACCAAGAATAACTCTTATTTTTATTTTGTCATTGTAGTTTTTCATATTTCTGATTTCTAGAAATACAAAAGAAATATTGTATATTTGAATTAAGGGAGATGAGTTGGGTTTTTTTTTTTTAAAGAAAATGAATTTTGCTCACAGAAGACAGTCCTTATCAGTTGTTACATACCTTGCTGAAACATTTCAGAAATTAACATTTGCCTGTCTTCATTATAAGAACATTTTATGTTTTAGCTAATCTGAGCTAAAGGCTCTAATGAGCTTTTCTGATCAAAGCATATCCAACATCTATGTGTCCTTATATTGCCTTTAAGTTTTTACATTTTCAACTTCTTCAGAATCAATGGGCCAAATTCAATCAAACTTGCCCAAAATCATCCTTAAGTGAATGGAATTCAAGTTCGTTGAAGTGCAGGGCCACATCCTCTCTCAAAAAATAGTGAATATTTGGTTGGATTGCCAAAAATGATGAATATTTTACATGGGAATATATAGAAATTAATCTCGAAATATCTTCTTCTCAAGAAAGCTGGGTTGTGATTAGTAATATTAATATACAAACATCTTCAGATAATGCAGATTCAAATTTGTTCAAATCCTGGGAGGAACAAGGTTTTACATTTAGAAATGAGGGAAAAATTCCTATATAATCTTCTGAAATTACGCAAGCATCCTCATTTAAGGAGGAGAAGGACACATGGTCACATGACTCTGTTTAACTACGTCATAGTCTCCGTTTATATAAGAGCAAAGCGTGTAAAGCATCAGTTTTTGTATAATTTTTTGACATTTTTTTTTTAACTTTAATAACCATCTTATATGAAAAAAATAAAAAGTTTTAAAATTCTTGTAAACATTAACAAATTATGAAAAAGATTGATCCACTCCTCTGTTTCCCTAAACTGCGCGTCCTGCAAGTCGGTGACGTCATACACGATCAGTTAGTACAGCAAGATCATACTCAGTGAATACAGGAGCGGTGTTACTTTGTTGAAACAGGTCTTAATCAGTATATATGATAAAATATTCTGGACACGGGGAATACAAAAATTATTTTTGCATGGCTGATGACGGAAATCTTATGTAGGTATATCTTCTTTCGCTTATTTAGCTTACATGTGACGTCATAGTTGGTTTTTCCCGTACTCGAGAAATGTTTTTGTCATGCTTATGTCCTCTTTAACGATGTCCTGTGCAATATTGAGGTCAGCTTCACCATTCGAAATTTTTACAGTTAATCAATAATTTGAAGGACTTACATTTCAACGTAAATTTAAAAATATTGAATGATAGAATTTTTGGTAAATTACTTTTTTTGTTGTTAAAGTTGTCTTAAAAGTACGTAATTTTCGCTATCCAGATGCAGTGTGATAGAAGAAACTTGCCTTTTCGAATTTTAAACCCTATTCATACTATGAAATATTTTAAAAGATACATGTCCACTTACATATTTTTTATCTTTGCTTAAAAAATCCCATTATGGACAGAGTAATGGGCCCGGAAACATGGAGAACTAAAACTCTACATAGATACTGTAGGGCATAGTATTTGTCAATCAATATTTCTAAAATAAGGTAAGAAATCTAATGATATAACTGCATTAAGATATGTGGGACATACTTAATAAGAAATATACAAAATATGAAAAAAATTGAATGACAGGTATTTTTTCAGCTCAAGGTCCTTCTTCCCCTTAATGCAGATTTAACTTTGCTCACATGATCCCTGGGGTTAGGACCGCAAAAGGAATCAAAGCTGTACATGGAAATATGCTGGGGACAAAAACTTTACCTTTCAAGAACACCAGGACCACAATATAAAATTTAAATGCATGTAACCTCGGATGGTGCAGATTCAAAATTTATTCAAAACCTGACCCTTGGGGTTTGGTGGGGCCACAATAAGGGATTAAATATTCATATGGAATAAATAAGGCAAAAAACTTAATTGCAGACGTATTTCATGGCCCACTGAACAGGGAGGGTAGTGAAATAGGTACTTTGAAATCACTAATTGGGGGTTTAATTTTCATTGTTTTAATGATATAAAGAGACCCACATCATGCACATATTCATGTCCTCCAAGTAATGTAAAATTTCAAATATATAACAACCCGCCACTTCTTCACCCATGAAATCATTCCCCATGAAGCAATAATTTTTCCTCAAGCCTCAAAAATTTGACCCCACAGATTTTTTTATTTTACAGTATTTAAAATTTTGCAATTGAGTATATAGGATTTTTTTAATTGTGATTAGGAGTCTCTAATTCATTGAATTTGATTGAAATGCAAACATTCCTACAGCACATTATGAGGATCCAAGATTGTTTGAATAATGGACAGTGGGATTTGGATGGAGATGAATTAGGGGATAAAATTTTACATACCACTATTTGGGGTCAAAATTTTCATGAGAATATAAATGGGAGAAAAATTCAATCTTATGAGGATCAGCAGGACCAAAATGACTCAGATGAGCAATATGACCCTTGGGCATCTTTTGGTATTTATAACCATTTAGTGATATGACTTAATCAAACAGGTGATATTGATATTTAAATGAGTGATATCACATATCAAATTGAGTTGGATATCATCTATTCAAATAAGTGATAATATCTATTCAAATGAGTGTTACCATTTATTTAAATGGGTGATATCATGGACATAAAATGAATAGTGATATTACTTATTTAATTAATGATGTAATCTATAAGAATAGGTTTATCACATTTACTCTTTTATACAGTTGATATAGCTTATACAATATTGTTTTCATATCGGCAGTTTGACGCCACAATGACTTTTACGTGAAAGTGATGAAGTCAAAGCGGATTTTCATAAAATATACAATAGCTGTGTAAAACGTGATAAAAAGTATCTCCCATGGTTTGTGGTTTGATATGATTTTCAGCTCTACTATTTAAAGACCAGATGAGCTTATTTGAGTAGGTGTCCATCATCTGTCCATTTCTTTGTCTGTAAACAAATTTTTAAAATGAAAGTCCTACAATTTTGGTTTAATTTCAATGAAACTTGGTACACAAGTACACTACACTAAGATACATTCGTTTTTGATTCAGTGAAGGGTCTTGCAATGGTTATTAAAAGTACAAAAAAAATTTGTGAAATTCTTTCAAAGAGCTACTTTTCCTACAGTTTTTAGCTCACCTGAGGCAGAGGCTTAAGTGAGCTTTTCTGATCAAAGAGTGTCCAGCATCCGTCTTCTCTGTAAATTTATCACATTTTCAGCTTTTTCTGTCAAGAACCATTGGGCCAATTTCAACCAAACTTGCCACAAAGCATCCTTGGGTGAAGGGGATTTAAGTTTATTCACAGGAAGTGCCACACCCTCTTTCAAGGGGAGATGATTAAGAATTCGTGAAAATTTGGTGGCATCTTTCAAAAATCTTCTCACTGAGCAAGAAAAGATGAAACTTATTTGAAAGCTTCCTTACCTACTCTAGATTCAAGTTTGTTCATATCATAACCTCCAAGAGTAGGATGGGGCCACAAGAGGGGATTGAAGTTTTACATAGCATCCTTGGGTGAAGGGGATTTAAGTTTATTCACAGGAAGTGCCACACCCTCTTTCAAGGGGAGATGATTAAGAATTCGTGAAAATTTGGTGGCATCTTTCAAAAATCTTCTCACTGAGCAAGAAAAGATGAAACTTATTTGAAAGCTTCCTTACCTACTCTAGATTCAAGTTTGTTCATATCATAACCTCCAAGAGTAGGATGGGGCCACAAGAGGGGATTGAAGTTTTACATAGGAATACATAATCACTTATATATTGTAGATGTCCTTAAAAATCTTCTTGAGAACAGCAAAGCCATGATTATCATATTATAATAGAAGTATCCTCAGGTAGATCAGATTCAAGTTTGTTCCAGTCATGACCCCTGGGTGTAGGGCAGGGCCACAAAAGGGGGTCAAAGTTTATCATAGGAATATATTGGAAATTAATATCTTTAAAAATTTTCTTCTCATGAACAGATAAGCCATTATTAGTCATATTAATGTAGAAGTATCCTCAGGTAGTGTAGATTCAAGTTTGTTAAAATCATGACCCCTGGGGGTTGGGGACAGACACAACAGAGGGCTAAATTTTTACATAGAAATATGTAGGAAATATCTTTTTAAATAAAATTTTCTTCTCAGGAACAGATAAGCCATTATTAGTCATATATTATATGACTAATAATGGCTTATCTGTTCCTGAGAAGAAAATTTTTCTATGTAAAACTTTAGCCCTAGCTCTGTTGTGTCTGTCCCCAACCCCCAGGGGTCATGATTTTAACAAACTTGAATCTACACTACCTGAGGATACTTCTATATTTAAAATATAATAGAAGTATCCTCAGGTAGTGTAGATTCAAGTTTATTTAAATCATGACCCCTGAGGGTAGGGCAGGCCCACAACAGTGGGCCATATTTTTACATAGGAATATAAAGGAAATATCTTTAAAAATCTTCTTTTCAAGAACAACTAAGCCATTATTAGTCAGAAGCAACCTTAGCTATTGTAGAATCAAGTTTGTTCAAATTATGACCCCCAAGGGGTTGGGGGTTGGGGCACAACAGAGGGTCAAAGTTTTACGTAAGAATATAAAGGAAGCATCTTGAAAAAATCTGCTCAAGAACAGCAACGCCATGATTAGTCATATGTATTATTACAGAAACACCCTCAGGTAGTGTAGATTAAGCAAAAAGTGTGATTAAACACTGTTTTTATAACATCATATTTTTCATAATTTTTATCCCTTTAGAATAATTAACTTGGCAAAAATAAATTGTGTTGATTTCAAGACAGGAAGAACTGAAGTTTTCTTTATAATATATACATATTGCAAGCAATACTAGTACATTTGTACTTTGTATCTCGAACATGGATATCTTGAATGCCATGGATATGTTGAAGTGATTTTGAAGACCCAGATACTTATTCCTCATTAGACTTGTAAGTATTTTACCTTGGATATCTCGAATCCTCGGTTATCTCAA